CTTTAAATAAGAATAACCACAAACTCTTCTCTTCTGTTTGTGATATCCTAGAAGGGTTAGATATCAGGTTTCATGACCTTACACAACCTGATCTCTTGTATGCCCCAGTTTCAACTCTTTCTCATGACTTGTCATTGACAGAGTAGACGTGACCTCGTGATTTAGTGATGAGTTCTAACTCTAAGCTTTTCTATAGGTTAAACAGGTGGATTATACTGTACTTAACGTCTTGAAATGTATAAGAAATCAAAATATAGCTAAGCAGTTACAATTCTATTATATCCTGTTGCTGTAGGCCTTCAAGAAAAGGCTATGACATAAACACATAGACCTACTCTGCTGGTATGCTTTACATGAAAAAATAGATAGGCTTCAAAGTCTGGAGTGTGTAAACTCCTTCACTGGTTAATCATTAATAGAATCACAATTTACGAAAGCCATTAACATAATCTTCTGTTGTCTGATAACAGGGGAAGTATGACTTATTATGCCCTGTTTACGTTATATGTGAATAATCGTATTTGTCAATGGTATTGGTACCACCAGAAACACACAGACATGAGCCTGCATCAAATATGGTAACAGAAGTCACTGAATAAGTGTCTGTCGTAACATACAGTCTATGGTCGTAACCTAAGGTCGTTACGAGGGTGATGAAACAGATCAGCTGACTGATGACGTTTCAGCGGGAGTAGCCTAACTTTACGAGGAGGAAGCACATTTGTCGTGACCGAGCCGGCAAGAGGACGAAAGCGGAGGAATAAAGTATCTAGAAGTCGGTTAAACACAAACCAAGAAGAGGTAAGACGTCTATCAGTCATATGAATCTTTTCCCGTCGTTGGTTGTAGTGTAGGATATTTTCACATTACTTGAATCTGTCTTTGCCGGTTCCCTCTGAGCAACGTGGTCTAGCCGTACTGCTTGTGTCTCAGTGTTTCCTGATAATATGCTTCAGTCATGTTGATCCAACTGACTGGATTCAGAGGTTTCAGAAATGTTTTCAAAGCTAAGATCTAACTTAGACTTTTCTATATCACACATCGTTCTTGTGTCATGTGGCGGCATGTTAGATTTTTTTGGCATTAGGCCTGTCTAATATGTCTTTATGTCTGATATTTATCTTATAATTAATTGTATTATGTAGTCGTAATTAACGTTTAAAGGCTCTAATGGCCTTTTAATGTCATAAATTCTGATGATAAAAGTATCCGTGAGTCAGTTTTGTAACAATGCCCCTGCCGCCATATTGGTTGCGCAACATAAAAGGGAATCCCCTTGTGGCTGAGTGAGGGTATAGCACCACCTTTTTTTAATCGAAAGCAGTAAAAAAAAAGAAAGTTACCAACAAAGTGCAATTTTAACCAAAATGATTAAGGTAATCTTTTTACAATTTAAAACACTTTTGAGCTAATAACGCACTAAACTGTGATAGTCTTGTTTTCATTTCTTGTGTGTGTATCTTTTCTCAGTAGAACCATGCCTGGAGACATTGCCAAGGGTAAGAAGGCATTCGTCCAGAAGTGTGCCCAGTGCCATACTGTGGAGAACGGCGGAAAGCACAAAGTTGGGCCGAACCTTTGGGGTCTATTTGGACGCAAAACTGGCCAGGCAGAGGGTTTCTCCTATACTGATGCCAACAAAAGCAAAGGTGAATACTTAAAACGTTATTCTACAGTATGTGAACACTATGCTCTAAGGAATAAACATTGTACCCAACTGTTTCTGCTTACTTATTTTCCAGGTATTACCTGGAATGAGGACACCCTAATGGTCTATCTGGAGAACCCAAAGAAATACATTCCAGGAACAAAGATGATCTTCGCTGGCATCAAGAAGAAGAATGAACGGACTGACCTCATAGCTTACCTTAAATCTGCAACTTCATAAAAAACTTTGTTTCCATCAAACTGCTCAAGAGGTCATCTGCTCATCCTCGATTCCAAATCAGGCAGAAGGGCAACAAATCTGAGTGGTGTTGGTATGATATGTTTGTCACAGCTGTATCTCTGTTTCTGATTTGATCCTCCTTGTGTGGTGGAATACATGATATCCCCTGGTTTTGTCAGGTTACTTTTCTAAAATAAATTATTAAACAATATACTGTGTATTCAGAAAATAGAGACTGAAAGCTGTATGTATTTTTGTTGATAAACTGTCATCCAGTAATTTTCTCATGTTTTTTTGGCTAATGCTCAAGATGTCTTAATAATTGTTCTACAAATGAATATGCCTTTTCTGCATCAAATTTTGATGTTGCCTCAACAGTTTTTTATTATGCGATCTTAATAAATCGGACACTAAATGTCTATTTTTTCTCCAGTGTCTTGTTTTCCAAGCAGGGAAAATGTCCTGTAGGCTTTTTTTATTGGTTATGATCGCAGATGGTCTGGACCATCCTATCAAAGCTATGATTTTATAATGTTTTTGTTATTATTGTTAAACTCATGTTTCTTGGCCTCAAAGCAGGAGAGATGAAGTGCAGTTGTTGACAGTTAAGTGAATGCAACAGAATATTATACGACCATATGGCATTGGTTTTCTGGTGTTTTTCTATTGAATAGCATGGCTCTGTAACCTAAAGGACTTTTAACTCAGTGCTTGTGACATACTCACTTTTTCCAAATCATCTTGAAGTGCTGGTTTGATTATAAGAGCCCATTGGACAAAGGTTGTTCATGATAGGAGACTGAAGGTAAGATACATTATCTGTGTGATTCACCAGTTTGCGATTTGTGGTGTATGACTCCATCTAGCGTTCAAATGTCTCACCTGCAGTTAGTCACTAATACTATTGTATAAAGGAATTTGATTTTCTGACATCTCTCTGCCAATAAAAGTCGCTGTTGCGTAATTAAATGATACAGACCAACCGCTGCAGAAGCCAAAGTTTAAGGAGGAGGGGGCTGTGAAGCAGATGAATTGTCGAGTTGCAGAATCTGTCAAATATGCTTTGACACACATTTTCTTTAGGCGACACTCACCTTGATTACTCTTGTCAGCGAGCACCACCACCACCACCACCAAAGCTGTTTCAGGGATGCACTGGAATTCATTATAAAGCATCATCTCGTTTTATTATAATCCATACGCATGCTGTTTTTCTTTAACCTTATAAAATAATGATCAACATTCAACTATCACCTCTGTAATCCCCCTTTTCAACATATTTAGATGCCATTTATGTTTTTATTAGTTTATATTTTTCAAGATCAGATGATTGATTGTATCTAAGTTACACTCTTCTTCTTCAGCATCATCATTATCATAATGCTTGGAGCCTCTGTAAGGAGGGCAAACAGTTCAAACGTCCAGAGGGCTGACTGCTGAACAACCCGGAGCTCCCGTCTGTGTGACGATGCGAGCGTCAGAGGTTCCGAGCCAACCACAGCCAGCATCATTTGCACACAAGAAGACCCAAACGACGGCGGTGCTCGGTAGCGGTTCTCGGTGAGATTTCCATAACCCGTGATAGTCTTCGAAAGGACTAATTTTCTTTACTAAATTGATTTGATGTATAATGTTCTTACATGAAGTGAGCGGTGAGGAGATGCTGTGGAGGATTATCCTCGTGCGCAAAGGGGAGTCTCCATCGCGCTCCTCACAGAGCGTAAACTGGATATGAAGCCAGGGCTCCAGGGGTGTTTCCAGCTTCATGTAATTTGGAAGTTATTCAATTATTCTTTAATTTAAAACAAAGTAAAACCTCATAGATGATATTTCTCTGCGCGACTTCATGGATTTGGTTCGCTGAGGACCATATAAAGAACAGACATGGCAGTGCCAAATATGGTGTTTTCTGACGTGGAAACTTTTCTGGACTCTCATCCCGAGTTATTCGAGGACTACCTGAACAGAAAGGGGAAATATAGCATGGTGGAGAAATGGCTCAAGAATCACCAGGCATGCAAAAGTCCGGCGGCTGCAGCTCCCGCCGAGCCGAGAGAGGAGAAGAGCAGTGCGCACAAGGACAGCTGGGCGAGCAAATGTGACGGTCTGCAGAGGAGAGCCTCGCAGAGGGAGCTGCGCAAAACTTTCGCTAGATCAAAGGCCATTAATGTGAACAGGACATACGACGAACATGTGAACTCCAGGGCCCAGGAGCCCCTGACCAGCATGAGGAGGAGAGCCCTGCTGAGGAAAGCGAGCTCTCTGCCCCCGACCACTGCGCACATACTGAGCGCACTGCTGGAGTCCAGAGTCAACATCCCCCAGTACCCGTCCACAGCCGTAGATTTTAAATATTACCTCAAAGAACACAACGAGAGAGCCTTTTTCCTGGAGCTTGTAAAAGACATATCGAACGACTTGGACCTAACGAGTCTTAGTTACAAAATCCTTGTGTTTGTTTGTATTATGGTGGATGCAGACCGGTGCTCCTTGTTTTTAGTGGAGGGAACCGGAAACAAGCAGACACTTGTGTCCAAATTCTTTGATGTGCACGCGGGCACCACAGTTTTACCCTCCATGAATTCAGATGAAGTGCAAGTGCCATGGGGTAAAGGCATCATAGGATATGTGGCTGAACACGGAGAGACAGTGAACATTCCTGACGCATATCAGGTGCCTGCTCTTCTTTGTGTATGCATGTTGGTGTGCATTTGCATGAGTCACAGAAAGAGAGAAAAGAGAGCCAGACACGCAGGGAGACAGGTCGTTTTCTTTCAGTGTGTCATTCAATCTGTCACAGGTGATTGATCATCAATCAAACTGGAACAGAGCCTAGAGCATGGACAGCAGCAGTGACAGTGTGCTGGACAGAGCTCGTGTCAAAACACTTATTGGTTGTTTTTGCTGGTTTACTTTGTTTACCTTTATTTTGAGACAGCAATAAATGAATAAATATAGATATCAAATTGCTTTAAGATGCCACAAAAGGTGTAAGCAGACCATTTCAGTAGGAAATGAATTCTGTTTTTTTTTGCAGTTGTCTATAGCAAGGGTTCCCAAACTTTTCGGCATGTGACCCCCAAAATAAGGTGCTAGAGACATGAAGACCCTCACTGTCCATGGAAGTGGTTAAAAAACCGGGAAGACTTATAGGCAAATATTATTTTAGTGATGTATTGAAGGAAATGCTAGAAGCAGAAAATAATGAATCTCTTGATCTATTTTTTTGTATATATGTTCACAATAATGGGTAAAATATGCAATTTTAAGTAATTTTTCATATACATGTGTTGAGTCGCAACCCACCTCTCATGGTCTTGCGACCCCCAGGGGATCCCGACCCCTACTTTGCGAACCCCTGGTCTATAGCACCACCTGCATTTAAGACTCGTTTGATGTTTGCTTGTTAACTGTTTACATTTCAAATACATTTCACTGCACTTTAATTTAAGAGTGAAATAAAATTACATTTCTTCTTGCAACAAGTGCTTATATTCACTCTCCTTTATGTGCTGTCCCTGGGGCCTGTAGGATCGCCGATTCAGTGATGAAATCGACAAGCTGACAGGATACAAAACCAAGTCCCTCCTCTGCATGCCCATTCGCAACAGTGATGGCGAGATCATTGGAGTTGCTCAGGCCATCAACAAGTCTTCAAGTGGACGACTCTTCTCTGAAGATGATGAAAAGGTAACCTCATCTAAGTCAAGATCTTATGGAACAATAATTCTGAGTGGAGAATATATCGAGCTGACCGCTTGTTTTTGTTTGTGCGATGTCAATGTGGTGTCTTGACTTAGTCATTATCACCTCAGTGCTTGTTTATAACACTTGTGTTTGTTGGACGTGTAGTAGGCAGACTTCCAGCGTTGTTTTAATGTCTAAATAAAACAGAGATCAATCGGGGCGCTGGTGCGCAGTGGTTAGTGTATGGAGGCGGCTCCAATCAAATCCAACCTGTGGCTTCTTTACCGCATGTTATTCCCCACTCTCTCTCTCTGGTTTCCAACTATATCCACCATCCTATCTCTCCATTAAAGGCCCAAAAAGCCAAAACCCAAATCGGGTCTTATTTTAGCGTAATTTCCGTATCGGATATTGGACTGATGGAGTCGATCTACGTCACTGATAAAGAAAGATGGTTTGGCACTTTAAACAGTCTTAACTCACACAGTCTCGTTTTAAAGACATTCAGACTGAACTGTGAGAAGTGTCCACAAATCGTCAACATCAAGACATTCAGACGTTTAGCTCCTTCTATGTGATCTAAAGTACAATTCTTACACGTCAGTTTAAAATTTTGAGTTTGAAAACTTTACAGTTGTTGATGCTTCCTGTTTGTATTTGAAGCCAGCACAATGCAATGCTGGGTTTACTACAACTTTGTGTATCCTTACACATAATACCAACAACAACAATAACACTATTAATTATATTTAAAAAAATCTGATTCAGTATCTTGTCATATGTATCGGAATCGGATCGGAACTGAAAAATAGTGGTACGTGCATCTCTAATGATAACACAGCTGGATAGTATTGTGATAATATTGTGAACATGGTAAACATTACAACGATCAGCGTGATAACTTTGTCACCATTACACAAGCATGTTGACTAGTCTGACATTAGCAATCAGGAGTGGAAGTGACTTAGTATTGTCATACCCATTTTGCAGTTTGGACTTTGCAAAAGCCAATTAGAGTGATGCAAAAATGGGATTTATTTTTATTTTGTCCCTTATGTACGGTCTGGTTTTTAGTTTGACCTTCAGAATAAAACACATTTGGAATATTTATTTTATTGTTGTTCATATTGTAGACTAACTTTCTGATTTGTGATATTTGAATCCCTGAACACACGGTGTGATACCATTTACAGATATGGTTGTGGTTCAGTGAAGCCAGCTGACTGTTCTCTCTAGGTTTTAAGATTCAGATTATCCAGAGATTATCATGACGAATGCTGTTATCATTCAGGATATTTTCACGGAGAAGAATTTGGAATCTTTAATGTCACTAATTATTCTTATTGATTTAAATGTTGAATGATTAATGGTTGACTATTATTGATGAAATAGGAAGTGCAGAAAAAAACAGCAGCTAAATTCAGAAGTACTACATTTTAGTTTAATTATCAGAGTGCATCATATACTCACTATAAAGTTTAGAAAGCAAGTTTATGTCTTAACAGTCAAAACAGTTTCCTAAAATAGCATCTGCTTTAGCCTTTCATTTTTGTTTCTTTTTACACTCTAAAGAGTTTTGTTGTGTCACTGCAGTAACAATATTTTTTATCAAAGAGTTCTGAAAAATAATTGGAATTTTCAGAATTTATTTTGTACTTGTGTACAAGACAAACACACAGATCATTTTAATATGATTTATCCAGAGAACTTTTCTTATTGTCTGGACGTACGTCCCAAGAGGACTGAAGCCAACTCTTTGATGACAGCTGTTTAGATTTTTACCCATTTCTACATCAGCTCAGTGTCTAAACACATCAGTCAAGTTGGCAGTTACAACAAATGACAGAGAACTTTGTGAATAAAAATGATATACTATTATAATATGTCAAAACAGTAGGTGGGGGTGTTACATCTTGCACAGATTCAGACAGTCCTCTGTTTGAGACTGAATGTTTATTTGAATTATTACCATCATAGAGAAGCAAGAGGAGCGTGTGCGTGTTCAGTCCTTTGGCACACTTGACTGAGTGGAGCAGTAAGGTAGTGACAAGCCCCTACACTGACTTGTTCTCCTATCGCAGCTATGAGCCCCTCAAGGGGAGATGAAACATGAAAGCACAAAAGCTAGCTGGCTTTTATTGGAGAGTTAAATTTCATAGTCGCAAAAAAACGTTTGATTATGATATCTAAAATCGGATTTTCTCTATGCAAGGCACTGCTGTTGAAGATATATGTGTAGACTCCATCCATTGTTCATGATAAATGCATATCAGGCATTCTTTTGAGTCTTTCCCATGTTTTGAGTACTTTTCACATTGCATTACCATCACACTAATGCCTGGGAAAGCTACAGCTGAATTAGTAATGAAATGCAATGCTAGCATCAGAGAGAACACAGTAAGCTCTCTGCACAGCACAGCTGCAGCTCTGCTTTCATGGAAGACCTTGTAATAAGGAAGTGATCATCCTTTTCAAAGTATTAAATGATACTCCAATAGCAGTCATTACAGACTTATTAAAACACATGTTGTTCTCTATGTGTTGAGCCTTATAGGATATTTAAAGACATTATATGCCTGGCTTTAAATCCCACACAGCCTTAACACACACACATTGTGCTGTGTGTCTACCCTGCAAGTTTAGAGTCCTTTGGGAAGCTTGGATAATGGTTCACCTCATATATAATTGCATTGTCTAATTATCACCTATGAAGGAATATTGCTATAGACTTAATTTAAATGTATAAGCCGACAGCATTGTTTTAGCTCTTTATCCGGTTTGATTGTCTTGATTTGTCTTTCTCTCACTTCTTTCTCTTACTTGCATTTAAATACATTTCACATGAATCTTCTATTCAGGTAGACCTTTTCATGAAATTCTTTGTCAGATCAGTAACTTCCTCTATGTGGGTTTCCTTGCCAATGTAGTGTAACACCTCTGTGAGTCTACAGTCACATAACATTCCTTTCCCACTGCTGTGCTCCCTCCGGTTGCCAAACTTATAGTAAAATTGTCTCAAGCAATACTGTATTAACCTTTTTCACACAATTTCACATTATGAATTTACAAATAAAGAAGAGAAACTACAAATTCTGCGTTAAGATACATGTTTTCATTTATTCCTGCAGGATAGTAGATCGAATCCAATTTAGAAAGTGTATCAAATTAAACTCGCCGGAGTTTTGCAAATTAAACTCCTTACAATGGTCTTCATGTAACAGAAAATGTCCCAAATCATGCATGTCATTTACATACCTCTACAGTGGGGTCACAAAATAAAGGTGCTCTTAGCTGCTGTGCCACCCAAAGAAACAGAGACATGGAACGATGACTTACCATTAAGTGGTATTGATTCCATAAGTCTAATATCAAGCACTTATATTGTTAGCCATAATTAAGTCCATTTGTTGTAAGAAACATCACGGTAAATTTGACCATTTGGTTGAGAGTAAATATGCAACCAGTAAGCATTAAAACTGCAAGGATTATCCGGGGTCATAAGTTAAAAAAGAAGAGGACCTAAAACTGTACCATGGGGGATTCCAAAGTTTGAGATTCAAGGCTGCTGCACCAAATTGTGGAATCTGAGAGGACACCTCAGAGGAAAACCAGTGAACATGAATCCACGTGGAAGAAGAACAGACAGAGCTAGATCATTAGTATCATATTCTTATTTGTTGACCTCCTTTAGAGCCACATCTCTGCATATATGATCTGTCCATTCAACAGAAATCAAGTTTATCCTGTGTAATTGTGTCTCTGAGTCATGACTTTCTACAATGAGTGAGAAGCTCGAGTCCCGCTGGCTGTGTTGTTGTCAGGTCGTGTTTACATTATGTTTACATCATGTTTACATGGACGGGACAGCCTTGCGTATAAAACAGTTTTAGTCAAGGACTAGAGAAAAGAAGAATAAAAAAACATACTCACTGCTTATTTCAATGTCACGTAACACAACAATGCAGGACACTGGCAATTGCAGCTTGAGCAAAGGACAATTTTGTCCACTGCTTGCACTTATTGGTGTTCAATTATGGTCGTTCTAATTGATAACTCCTTTGTGTAAACGCGAGTGGAGAGGGGTTGGAGGTGTACTGCTGGAGGAGAGAGGAGACTTCAGAATAGTGGAGGTGTGGCCAAACAGCAGTTTGTTTTGGTTTCATGCTAGTGCTCAAGGGGGCGACATCTACTGGATCAAGAAGTCACACATTCTTTTTTAACTGTTGAAAGTGGCTGCAAAAATCTAGAATTGACTGATTTCATTATCTGAATGTGAATAAAATCTTAATAAAACCTCATAAAAGTCTTTAAATGTCCGTCAATGTCACACTAATCAAAACTTTAATGAATTTTATTACTCTAAGTTTTTTACACAAAACAATAAACTTTAGTCTTGTTTGTTAAGACTTTTGCTGCATCATCAAATCCATTTCATATTTTAAAGAAAGGAAACGTGTCTCTTTGGATGTGGTGTGAACGCATATTAAAGCTACAAGCATTTCTCATGCTTAACCCTTATATTCGTCAGAGGAACAATAAATGCTAAGACGGACACAATCTGTCTTGTTGTTAATGCACCGTTTAGTTTTTGTGACCTCCCTCTGCTCTTGGCTTTGTTCCAGGTACCTGTGATGTAAATGTAGAACAGTTTAATTATTTATGGATAATGGCTATTGAGCAGCACTCCTGGTGTGCTCATGTGTTTGTTGGCTGAGTTCTATTTGTAACCATAGATTACAGGCAGTCAAGTCAATGCTTGGTTGGGTGGTATGACATTTTAACTTTAATAATCTTGTGGTGACACACATACCTACATAATTGATGTTTTCTTTATCTATAAAATGTATTTACTACTTTCTTTTCATTTGAATATTTATGTTGATAATAATCATAAAACAATGGTTTACTTTAAAAAAGTTCTTAGTGTAGATTCTAGTTTCATACACTTTGGATTGCTAATTGTGTATTTCTAAAACTTCTCTGTACTTTGCTGACAGAAGCAAGGGAGTCACATAAGAGATTAGAAAATGTGGTGTGCTTCCATTTCTTCATAAGAACATCTCTTTGATCACAACATTGGCGTCACTATACCACACTCGCTGTTATGGGGGTACAATGTAAAAGTCAGGCGTCTCTCAAACAGAACGTAAGGGGTTTGATCCCTAGCGCCTTAGCCACGTTAGCCATGTTGGAAATGCTTTGGGCAAGGCTCTGAACCCTGAGTTGCTCAAGCCGCTGCGTCAACGGGGTGTGAATGTGTATGGTGGACACCTCACAAAGCAGGCTCTGCCATCAGTGTGTGACAGTGAAATGTGTTGTAAAAGTGCTTTAAGTAGTCTGAGGACTAGAAAAGATCTATACAAGCTCAAGTTCATTTACCATATTCCTGTGATAAATGAGGAAAAGAAATATTGGAGCTGTAGTTTCTCTGCGCTTGCCTCTTATGACAATCCAGTTGTGGAAATGGGAGTCATTGGGGTTAGAGAAAGGGACTGTCCCTAAGGCCTGGGCCACTTAGTTTCATTATTAAACCACTCTTTACTGGTCAGTCCACAGGTCTCTAGGCAAAAACGTCTTGTTTGTAATGCAACGTTATATAATGGCCTGCCTGACAGAATGTAATTAGAGAGAGCAGTGCTTTCCTTGGGTTCCACAGGCGGATCCATAGCTAGATCCCTGAAGTCCTGCTCGCTAATGAATCCGCTCCTGCTGGGCTATTGATGGCCACTGTCTTTCTGGAGGACAATTATAAGAAAATACCAGAGGACAGCTGAAATTGCATCATGCATGAGCCAGCGTCATCTGTTTGCAGTCTTTGAAAACAGAGGCGTGAGGTGCTTGATTATGTATAATGACTGAATGAAGTTAATTTACTCATTAGCATGACAGAGTCACATTTCATATCACATCATGATTAAAAATCCTTTCAGCATGATGCTTAAAGTATCATGTGCGGTGTGGCAGAGCACAAGAATGGAGCTGTGTGATGTTTTTGCTTCACACAATAAAGCATCATGCTATATTTAGCTGTGGTCCTCTAAAACACAACATACAATGAAAGAAACAAACACACATTTTAATTATTGTTTCTATCTGTTTTATATAAGAGCTGGTCTATAAGTTATAGACAATTTGTTTCCCTCTTTATTCTCATAAACATGCCTTCCCCGCTGCCATTGTGTGTGTATTTTTTCCTCGTTCTTTTGCTCCTTTGTCACTGAAGTCGCCCTTAAGTATAACCTTTAATTTGTTGCTTTGTCAACATGCTCTTTAGATTAAGAAAGCCGTACCACCCTTAATTTATAGTCTGCAAAATTAAAGCTATGTGACCAAACCTGTCAACCAGTTTGACTGTGTAGAGAAACTGAAGCAATTAGAGCACGTTGCTCAACATTTTGCTCTCTGTGATGCCATTTTTAGGTCTACAGTAACACAACTCGCTTTAATTGGAGTCAAGTTTTTGCTCTGAATTTATGAATCAATCGTATCGAGCCTGGGAGAAGCTCTCAATGTACTGAATATTTGTTTAATTAACAAACATAGAGTATGTTTTCTTAAACATATAAAACGTATGTAAAGAGGAGAAAAGAATTGGACTAATCTTATTATTATTATTATTTTATTTATTTATATTTATTGTAAGTGTTAATATTATTTTTACTCTATTATTATTTATGTTATTATTTCTTGTAGTATTATTGATTTTGCACCAATTTACCTCTTATTATTTAATTTACTTTATTAGTACTGTTTTTAATTGTTGTGTCTTATTGATGGAATTGTCATTGTGGGGGTGGAGTGGCAGGGGGAGGGGGAGGGGTTGGATGGGTGGCTTAATAGGAAACTTGTAGGATGTCATTGTATTGTTATGTGTTCTGAAACCTTATAAAATGGCAATAAAATATGTTTATAAAAAAACAAAAAACATGTGAATAGTCAAGATTAGTAAATGACTTTGCTGCTTATCAAACTGAAGAAATCACCAAACATGGGGTCATTCATTCTTTCGAATCTGTGAACTACATCCCAAATATTGTTGTAGTTGTGACAACCTTCCTAATTACCCTTACAGCACTACAGGAATCTGTTCTTGAGGCGTAACTGATACACTATGTTTCTGAAAGGTAAAACAGATATCCCTGTATCAGCGTCCGCAGCTGAGTGACTTCCTATTCATGTATTGTAGTTGTGTCCCTGCCCTCAGGTCACACTGGAGGCTGGTAAATATCAGTGGGTGTGTCGTAGTGATTGTGTTGTTTACACAGCGGCCAGATGCTCTAGTTAGATAACCAAACAAACAGGCGGAGTGAGGAAGTGCACAACCCAAACTGTGTTGATTCTATGTTAACGGGGCTAAGCGTCTTTCAGATAAGGCTGCACTGTCGGGTGATTGTAGTCATATAGAATTCACCCTGTGTGTTCAAATCCAAGCTGTCTGAACAGCAGCTGCCTCTCTGCACGTTCCTGCATATTGATGTTTATTATGAATCAACAAGGGTGAGGAAGAAAGAAAAATGTAGTTCGATTACAAACTAGTAAGGCGTTGATTCAATTTCAGGACACATATTAACTACAGCCATTTGGCCACATCAAGTGATCACATTATTAATGTGAAGAAAGTATGAATGAAATAAGGAACTTTATGTTATCAGCCCAAGGCCTCGTATGGCAGACTAATCAGTCAACTGCTAATGTGTCAGTTGAATTGATTTATTTGTCCTAGCAAGTAATGAAGCCAATATAGGGCTGTTTCTTTCTCTTTTATTGTAATTCAAAACATATGTTTTTCTCAGATGAAAATGTTGCTCGAATGCTTGTTTTTGTTGCAGGTGCCATACAGAGTCTTTCCAACCAATCAGTGTTTCTTAAAAAAAACATTTGTATCTCTGGAGTCCAACAAAATGTCTTAATGGAATGTTTGCAAATCTTTTTTTAACCAACTTACAAGTCTTCTACTTCCTTCTTATTACCATCCTCTTGTTCATGTTTCTGCTCTCTGTGCACAGGATTATAATGTGAAACCATCGACAGGGCTGTGTTAGATGTTGTGCTAAATGTAGACTGAAGAAACCCTCTCCTAAAACCATATTGTTTGTGCTAATAGTGCTAGCCATACAGATTAGCTTGAAATAAATGTAAATAAAAAACAGTAATGATATCACATCTTTGATAAATGTCCATGCTTTTCATGGATGTGGGTCTGTTGATAGAACACATTTTAATAAGTCGGTCATATGTCCACAGGTGCTGCAGATGTACCTGCCATTCTGTGGTATCGCGATCTCCAACGCCCAACTCTTCGCCGCCTCAAGGAAGGAGTATGACAGGAGTCGGGTAAGGCCAGCAGGGTTGACTAGGAGAATATCCCCCACCCACCCACCCACCCATACCTAGGATCAGCATTACTTCCCCCCCGATGCTGACATGGAGGCTGAGTATTGATCAGTATCAGCCCACTTGCTGCCACTGCAGTGGGGATCACAGAGCAGCATGCAGCCCTGCATGGACACTTTCTCTGGATGTGTAGTGGGGGATGGGCCTGTTTCCAGAGCAGGGCCCGGCCCAGGATCTAAATCTCCCAGGGAGTGTTAAGAGATGCACTAATTCATGTCACACATTGATCTGTGATGGAAGAGAACATAATGAGAACACAGCTGAGTGGATAGATGAGAGAAACGAGGAGAGCTCCCTTTACACCGTATGATTTGTATGTGTTTGTGTATTAAATTGGATTGGCACCGTTTAAGATAAAGGGCCTAATTAACTTTTATTGGAGAAACTCATCATGTTATTTCATCCTGGTGGTTTATGGGTTAAGGATTACAGTAAAAAAAAAAAGAATCAAGCTCTAACAGCTGAGCGAGGCAAAACATCTTTATTGAAAGGTTCTCTGTGTTACCTGCTGACAGATTTCAGTTCAGGTTGTACAGAATAAGTGGCATCTTTTTCCCTCACTGCTGTTCAGGCACTCTTGGAGGTAGTCAATGACCTGTTTGAGGAGCAGACTGACCTGGAGAAGATTGTCAGGAAAATCATGCACCGTGCCCAGACATTGCTAAAGTGTGAGCGCTGCTCTGTTCAGTTGCTGGAGGACATTGAATCACCGGTACTGTTTTTGTCTTTTTCTCCCTCTGCTATCTGTCTGAACATTTGTGTGTTCGTGTGCATTTCATTCTTTCTACCCGCCTCAATTTATTATCCATGAATGCTGTGCAACTTCATGCAATTTTATCCAAAAGCTTTAATGATTTCTCCTTTACCTTTTCAAATGTGTCAGGTGGTGAAGTTCACCAAGTCGTTTGAGCTCCTGTCCCCTAAGTGTAGTGCGGACACAGAAAGCAGGTATGTAAAGTGTTTCTGTAATAGTAATCTGTGTAGCTCTTCGATAACATCTGGCTTGATGAAAGACGTAGCTTTTCTTTCCTTTTTTTCAACTTCTCATACCAGCAACCTTTTCACTAAATAGTCATATTTGCACCATCTGCCCTCGGCTCCACAGCACCTTTATATTCTGTGCCGAGTCTTGTTTGAATTTGTAAAGCTTCCATCAAGGACTAAAAATAAGGGGAGTGTAAAATTGAATATTCTGTAGTGCTGTGGGAGTAATATGCGGATTGTGAATAGAAGGCATACTGTAGGAGCCCCACTTAATTGGGTTTTGCTGCTTCTCTCCACTGCTAGGCACGGCTGAGTGGAGAAACAGAGGCTTAATATTGTGTGGGATGTTTATGGATGAAAACCAACACTGAAAGGAAAGGAAATTATCCCCTGAGTCCTGCACTTGCCATAACTGATATGGTCACTTCAAGGCAGTTGAACAAAAAAAACCAGCAACAGTAATTTAAAAAAATGTATTGTAAGATAAGAAATACAGATAATAAGAAATACAGATAATAAGAAATAAGTAGCAAACAAAGAAATGCTATATAATAAAATAAAATAATTCAAGAAAATTCCAGCTGTTGATTGTTAGAATAAAATGGCACAATTCAGTCAAAGCTGAAAAGACAAACATACAGTATCTATGTGATCACACTGGTCTAACAAAGGCTTCACGTCGTATGAATAACAAGGGCTGCTGCTGTGAGGATTTATGTGTGTAATTAAGTGAATAAATTTGGTGTCAAAAGGCAAGCTAACTAGGATTTCTTATGTGCCTCACAATCTCCAGCTGCCCCAATGGGGAGGATGATGCTGAGTGAGTGTACAGTGCTGTTAGTGTGTCTGTGGCAGCTAAATGACTGACATGAGACGAGGGAGGTGAGAGGGAGCAGGAAAGAAAAAAGGGAGTAATACGCCTTACCATCACACAGATAAGGTTTATTCCCGACTGGGCAGTGGATTTTTTTCACAGCCTCACACAGCTGTATCCATAGATCAAAGGCATTCAAAAGTTCTGACATCGGTGTCTCTCCGTCTTTATTTCTAATCCTGAAAGACAAAGTGAGCCACAGTGAACGTTTACCTTGCAGCAGCAGCTCCCCGCAATAAATATGAATGGGAAGTCTGTGCAGCTATGCAGGTGTTTCTGTGGCTCATTGTGGGGGCGTTTGGCAATGAGGAAGAGAATCGCACAATTAACTTTTCATGGTTCCATAAACTGCAGGAGAAGCTCACTGATACAAACTGTACGAGAAGTTCATTCAGTTGAAGTCCATGTATAAGAGAGTCTACCTGGAGAAATACAAGCTTCACGCTATGACGATAAAACATCTTTAAATTGAATCCAATAACGAATACATGCTCATGATGACAAAATAATCAACTACAGGAGTGTTTGATTTCTTTAAGGTTCAACCCCCTCCCCCCCCAAAAAAACAAGAGTGGACAAATTAGGCCCAGTGCTGTTTCTCCTGCTCTGTTACTTTTATCTTCTTTTCTTTTCTAACCCTAGTTTCAAAGACAGTATGGAGAAATCCTCCTACTCAGACTGGCTCATCAACAACAGCATTGCAGAGCTGGTTGCATCCACAGGACTCCCCGTGAACATCAGTGATGCCTATCAGGATCCTCGCTTTGATGCTGAGGTAAACACACAGTAAATAACCCTTCAACTTCTCCATGTGAAAGGATCTCTGATTAAGAAAACCGGTATGACAGCAGTATATCTACTGTTTAGTGTGTAGTCATGGGCATTTAAACCCTCTGCTAGAAGTTCACATGTTAATGTCACTTGCGAGTCAATGAAGTCACATGGGATTCATTAAGGACTGTGATAGCACCAGGGGAGTGATGTGCATGTTATTTAATAAGGACATTTTTTTGATGAGGAGACATGGTTTCAGACAAATCTAGAGGAGACTCTGGATGTCAGTCTTTAGCCGTAGCTCCTCCTGAGCTATTTATCAGTTTATGTTGCTGTGTGTACATTACATTCTAGGTGGTCTCATGACAGTAGCACTAATTAATTGGATCTTAAGCTCTAATGACCTAAGGACTGGTCGTCTGATGATTGCACAAGGATTCAAATTGAGATTGTCTTTAGGACCACACATTCCTTTTTAAACACCCAACGTCACTTTTTTTTCAACCATATTTTTCTATCTGTCAATTGTTCTGTTGGATAAAAGGCCCATGAAGTGACACCTGCAGCAGCAGCAGAAGCAGGAGGTGCTGATGCTGCTTAGATCCAAACAGAATCCCTCAGCAGCTAGCGTGGCAGTCAACTGCATCGATCTGCACGCTGTGAAAGTTCTGTTTGGAGAGCTTTTAAAGGCTCTCACTGAAGTTAAGGGTACTTACTTTAAGCTGCGTTTGGTTCTTACATCTTGTGTAGCCTCTTTATTAGAGGTGAAGCATGTACTTATCTATTCTTCTCTAAATAAAATACAGGTGGTTTAGAATGAGCACAACTTTGATTTGAGTATTGAACTGGCAGAAGAGAAAAAATAAGTGAGGAGAGACCAAAACATTATGTTATTTTTTGACTAATTGGGCAGATATGTTCTTTATTATTGATTATTTGTTCACTCAGTAATATGTCAGAAAAAATTGTTTAAGTCCATTGTAATATTCTGAAGCATAAGGTGTTTTTTTGTTGATGTAAACATTTGAGGTTTAAGTTTTATAAGACATGATTCTTGTCAATATGCTTATCCTCTCTTCATACCATACTTAAACTCTCACTCGTTTCAGGCAGACCAGTTCTCGGACTTCCACATCCGCTCTGTACTTTGTGTGCCCATATGGAACAGCAACCACCAAATCATTGGTAAGTTCACAAACAGAGCTTCATTTTCTCTGATAGTATGTGATATACCAGTGCATGTGTTTATAAAATTTTATTTAAGTTAGACAAATATAAATATATGTAAATGTTTTTTTCTGGCATTTATCTTTGTTGGACAGGACAGCTAAAGAAAGACAGGAAATGTGGGGAGGAGAGAGTGGGGGTAGACATGCATCAAAAAAAACAAGTCCAGGGGCCTCATGTATAAACGGTGTGTGCGCACTAAAATGTTGAGTACGCTGTGTGCCATGCATGCGTCAGGATGTATAAAAATCAGCGTGATGTGAGAATGTACGTACCCTGCCGCAAATTCTTAGTTCCACTTGTTTAACTCGCCAGATGAGCCATAATACATCTGCCACTCAATTAACTGAACACTTTTAACGTTCTGTAAACGTTTTGCGATAACATTCTGAAAACAATTTGTGATAACATTCTGAAAATGTTCAGCGATAACGTTCTAAAGACGTTTGTCGATAACATTCAGATAATGTTTGGCAATAACGTTCTGTAAACGTTTTGCGATAACGTTCTGAAAACTTTTTACGATAACGTTCTGAAAATGTTCGGTGATAACTTTCTGACGACGTTTGTCGATAACATTCTGATAACGTTTGGGCATAATGTTCTGTAAACGTTTTGCGATAACATTCTGAAAACAATTTGGGATAACGTTCTGAAAATGTTTTGCAATGATGTTCTAAAGACGTTTTGCGATAACGTTCTAAATAATAAATAGATAATGTTCTAAAAACGTTTGCCTATACCATTCTGAAAACGTTTTGCGATAACGTTCTGAAGACATTTGTCGATAACATTCTGTAAACGTTTGGGGATGATGTTTTGAAAACATTCTGAAAACGTTTGGCGATAACATTCTAAAAATGTTTGGAGATAACGTTCTGAAAACTTTTCGCAATAACATTCTAAAAATGTTTTGCGATAACATTTTGAAAATGTTCGGCGATAACGTTCTGAAGACGTTTGTCGATAACGTTCTGATAACGTTTGGCGATAATGTTTGGGAATAATGTTCTGAAAAGGTTTGGGGATAACGTTCTGAAAAGGTTTGGGGATAACGTTCTGGAAACGTTTAGCGATAAAGTTCTAAAAATCTTTCCCGATAACGTTCTGAAGACATTTCTCAATAACGTTCTGAAAACGTTTGGAGATAACGTTCTGTAAACGTTAGGCAATAACGTTCTGGAAACGTTTGGCGATAAAGTTCTAAATAATAAATAGATAATGTTCTAAAAACGTTTGCCTATAACATTCTGAAAATATTTTGCGATAATATTCTGAGAATGTTTTCCGATAACGTTCGGAAGATGTTTGTCGATAACGTTCTGAAGACGTTTGTCGATAACGTTCTGTAAATGTTTGGGGAGAACGTTTTGAAAACGTTCTGAAAACGTTTGGGGATAACGTTCTGAAACCTTTTCGCGATAACGTTCTGAAAATGATTTGTAAATGTTCGGCGATAACGTTCTGAAGACGTTTCTCGATAACGTTCAGATAACGTTTGGCGATAACGTTCTGGAAACGTTTGGAAATAAGGTTCTGACAACCTTTTGCGATAACATTCTGAGGTTTTTTTACGATAATATTCTGAAAATGTTTTGCGATAACGTTCTGAAGACGTTTGTCGATAATGTTCTTTAAACGTTTGGGGATAACGTTCTTAAAGGGTTAGCAAATAACGTTCTGAAAACGTTTGGGAATAACGCTCTGAAAAGGTTTGGGGATAACGTTCTGGAAACGTTTGGCTATAACGTTCTAAAAATGTTTCCCGATAACATTCTGAAGACGTTTGTCAATAACGTTCTGAAAAGGTTTGGGGATAACGTTCTGTAAACGTTTTGTGATAACGTTCTGAAAATGTTCGGCGATAACTTTCTGAAGACGTTTCTCGATAACGTTCTGATAACGTTTGGGGATAACGTTCTGTAAACGTTTTGCGATAACATTCTGAAAACAATTTGCGATAACATTCTGAAAATGCTTTGCGATAACGTTCTGAAGACGTTTTATGATAACGCTCTAAATAATAAATAGATAATGTTCTAAAAACGTTTGCCTATACCATTCTGAAAACGTTTTGCAATAATATTCTGAAAATGTTTGAAGACGTTTGTTGATAACGTTCTGAAAACATTTGGCGATAACGTTCTAAAAACGTTTGGGCATAACGTTCTGAAAAGGTTTGGGGATAACGTTCTGAAAACATTTGGCGATAACGTTCTGATAACGTTTGGGGATAACGTTCTGAAAATATTTGGGGATAACGTTCTGTAAACGTTTTGTGATAACGTTCTAAAAACGTCTGGCGATAACGTTCCAAAATTTTTTGGGGATAACATTCTGAAAACTTTTTGCGATAACGTTATAAAAATGTTTTGCGATAACGTTTTGAAAATGTTCGGCGATAACGTTCTGAAGATATTAGTCGATAACGTTCTGATAACGTTTGGTAATAACGTTTGGGAATAACGTTCTGAAAAGGTTTGGGATAATGTTCTTAAAAGGTTTGGGGATAACGTTCTGGAAACGTTTGGCGATAAAGTTCTAAAAATGTTTTCCGATAACGTTCTGAAGACGTTTGTCAATAATGTTCTGAAAACATTTGGGGATAATGTTCTAAAAACGTTTGCCTATAACATTCTGAAAACGTTTTGCAATAATATTCTGAAAATATTTTAGGATAACGCTCTGAAGACGTTTGTCAATAACGTTCTGTAAACGTTTGAGGATAACATTTTGAAAATGTTCTGAAAACGTTTGGTGATAATGTTCTAAAAACGTTTGGGGATAACGTTCTGAAAAGGTTTGGGGATAATGTTCTTAAAAGGTTTGGGGATAACGTTCTGGAAACGTTTGGCGATAAAGTTCTAAAAATGTTTCCCGATAACGTTCTGAAGACGTTTGTCAATAATGTTCTGAAAAGGTATGGGGATAACGTTCTGTAAACGTTTTGTGATAATGTTCTGTAAACGTTTTGTGATAACGTTCTGATAACGTTTGGCAATAACGTTCTGTAAATGTTTGGCGATAAAGTTCTAAAAATGTTTCCCAATAACGTTCTGAAAACGTTTTGCAATAACATTCTGATAACGCTTGCCGATAACAGTTTGAAAATGTTCGGCGATAACGTTCTGAAGACATTTGTCGATAACGTTCTGATAATGTTTGGCGATAATGTTTGGGAATAACGTTCTGAAAAGGTTTGGGGATAGCGTTCTGGAAATGTTTCCCGATAACGTTCTGAAGACGTTTGTCAATAACGTTCTGAAAACGTTTGGGGATAATGTTCTGTAAACGTTTGCGATAACGTTCTGGAAACGTTTGGCGATAAAGTTCTAAATAATAAATAGATAATGTTCTGAAAACGTTTGCCTATAACGTTCTAAAAATCTTTCCCGATAACGTTCTGAAGACATTTCTCAATAACGTTCTGAAAACGTTTGGAGATAACGTTCTGTAAACGTTAGGCAATAACGTTCTGGAAACGTTTGGCGATAAAGTTCTAAATAATAAATAGATAATGTTCTAAAAACGTTTGCCTATAACATTCTGAAAATATTTTGCGATAATATTCTGAGAATGTTTTCCGATAACGTTCGGAAGATGTTTGTCGATAACGTTCTGAAGACGTTTGTCGATAACGTTCTGTAAATGTTTGGGGAGAACGTTTTGAAAACGTTCTGAAAACGTTTGGGGATAACGTTCTGAAACCTTTTCGCGATAACGTTCTGAAAATGATTTGTAAATGTTCGGCGATAACGTTCTGAAGACGTTTCTCGATAACGTTCAGATAATGTTTGGCGATAACGTTCTGGAAACGTTTGGAAATAAGGTTCTGACAACCTTTTGCGATAACATTCTGAGGTTTTTTTACGATAATATTCTGAAAATGTTTTGCGATAACGTTCTGAAGACGTTTGTCGATAATGTTCTTTAAACGTTTGGGGATAACGTTCTTAAAGGGTTAGCAAATAACGTTCTGAAAACGTTTGGGAATAACGCTCTGAAAAGGTTTGGGGATAACGTTCTGGAAACGTTTGGCTATAACGTTCTAAAAATGTTTCCCGATAACATTCTGAAGACGTTTGTCAATAACGTTCTGAAAAGGTTTGGGGATAACGTTCTGTAAACGTTTTGTGATAACGTTCTGAAAATGTTCGGCGATAACTTTCTGAAGACGTTTCTCGATAACGTTCTGATAACGTTTGGGGATAACGTTCTGTAAACGTTTTGCGATAACATTCTGAAAACAATTTGCGATAACATTCTGAAAATGCTTTGCGATAACGTTCTGAAGACGTTTTATGATAACGCTCTAAATAATAAATAGATAATGTTCTAAAAACGTTTGCCTATACCATTCTGAAAACGTTTTGCAATAATATTCTGAAAATGTTTGAAGACGTTTGTTGATAACGTTCTGAAAACATTTGGCGATAACGTTCTAAAAACGTTTGGGCATAACGTTCTGAAAAGGTTTGGGGATAACGTTCTGAAAACATTTGGCGATAACGTTCTGATAACGTTTGGGGATAACGTTCTGAAAATATTTGGGGATAACGTTCTGTAAACGTTTTGTGATAACGTTCTAAAAACGTCTGGCGATAACGTTCTAAAATTTTTTGGGGATAACATTCTGAAAACTTTTTGCGATAACGTTATAAAAATGTTTTGCGATAACGTTTTGAAAATGTTCGGCGATAACGTTCTGAAGATGTTAGTCGATAACGTTCTGATAACGTTTGGTAATAACGTTTGGGAATAACGTTCTGAAAAGGTTTGGGGATAATGTTCTTAAAAGGTTTGGGGATAACGTTCTGGAAACGTTTGGCGATAAAGTTCTAAAAATGTTTTCCGATAACGTTCTGAAGACGTTTGTCAATAATGTTCTGAAAACATTTGGGGATAATGTTCTAAAAACGTTTGCCTATAACATTCTGAAAACGTTTTGCAATAATATTCTGAAAATATTTTAGGATAACGCTCTGAAGACGTTTGTCAATAACGTTCTGTAAACGTTTGAGGATAACGTTTTGAAAATGTTCTGAAAACGTTTGGTGATAATGTTCTAAAAACGTTTGGGGATAACGTTCTGAAAAGGTTTGGGGATAATGTTCTTAAAAGGTTTGGGGATAACGTTCTGGAAACGTTTGGCGATAAAGTTCTAAAAATGTTTCCCGATAACGTTCTGAAGACGTTTGTCAATAATGTTCTGAAAAGGTATGGGGATAACGTTCTGTAAACGTTTTGTGATAATGTTCTGTAAACGTTTTGTGATAACGTTCTGATAACGTTTGGCAATAACGTTCTGTAAATGTTTGGCGATAAAGTTCTAAAAATGTTTCCCAATAACGTTCTGAAAACGTTTTGCAATAACATTCTGATAACGCTTGCCGATAACAGTTTGAAAATGTTCGGCGATAACGTTCTGAAGACATTTGTCGATAACGTTCTGATAATGTTTGGCGATAATGTTTGGGAATAACGTTCTGAAAAGGTTTGGGGATAACGTTCTGGAAATGTTTCCCGATAACGTTTTGAAGACGTTTGTCAATAACGTTCTGAAAACGTTTGGGGATAACGTTCTGTAAACGTTTGCGATAACGTTCTGGAAACGTTTGGCGATAAAGTTCTAAATAATAAATAGATAATGTTCTGAAAACGTTTGCCTATAACATTCTGAAAACGTTTTCGCGATAATATTCTGAAAATATTTTCCGATAACGTTCTGAAGACGTTTGTCGATAACGTTCTATAAACGTTTGAGGATAACGTTTAGAAAACATTCTGAAAACGTTTGGCGATAACGTTCTAAAAACGTTTGGGGATAACGTTCTGAAAACATTTGGTGATAACGTTCTGATAACGTTTGGGGATAACGTTCTGGAAACGTTTGGCTATAACGTTCTAAAAATGTTTCCCGATAACATTCTGAAGACGTTTGTCAATAACGTTCTGAAAAGGTTTGGGGATAACGTTCTGTAAACGTTTTGTGATAACGTTCTGATACGTTTGGCAATAACGTTCTGATAACGTTTGGCAATAATGTTTTGAAAATGTTTGGCGATAACGTTCTGAAGAAGTTTGTTGATAACATTCTGATAACGTTTGCCGATAACGTTCTGGAATTGTTTGGGAATAACGTTCTGAAAATGTTTGGGGATAACGTTCAGGAAACGTTTGCCGATAAAGTTTTGAAAATGTTTCCCGATAATGTTCTGAAGACGTTTGTCAATAACATTCTGAAAACGTTCGGGGATAACATTCTGTAAACGTTTGGCGATAACGTTCTGGAAACATTTTGCAATAATATTCTGAAAATGTTTTCCGATAACGTTCTGGAAACGTTTGGGAATAATGTTCTGAAAAGGTTTGGGGATAACGTTCTGGAAATGTTTGGCGATAAAGTTCTAAAAATGTTTTCCGATAACGTTCTGAAGACGTTTGTGACAAACGTTCTGAAAAGGTTTGGGGATAACGTTCTGTCAACGTTTTGCGATAACATTCTGACAACGTTTTGCGATAACGTTCTGAAAATGTTTCGCGATAACGTTCTGAAAACATTTTGCGAAAACGTTCTGAAGACGTTTTGCGATAAAGTTCTGGAAACGTGCCGCGATAACTTTCTGAAAAGAAGTGGAATTATGTGTCAATGTTGATGTCAGACAATGATGTCGCTTCATTAGGCCTTGTTTCTGGTCAGCATTATCGTTTATCCCAAATATCTTGGAGGTTGCAGTTTTGTCTGGGGTTTTTTACACAGCAAACACACTAGAGCAATTTCTTTATGGACCATGCTTTGTAAACACAGGGGTTGTTGTGTTGAAATAAGGAAATTCCCTTTAAAATAAGTTGGCACAAAGTTGAAAGAACACATCTACCTTAACATCTCTGATCATCAACAATAATGATATCTTCAAGTAAGCAATAAAACACTTAAGTTTTAACAATGTCAAAGGAGGACAAAACTAGAAGACTGATGTGTCCACATACTTTCCAACATATATTTAGTTTATGGATCAGATATGCAGATTAGAAGTTCTAACATCATGCAGCCCACATGTAAGTTTCATATGGACAATAATGCAGAGGAGAGCTGAGGCTGCATCTGTGTGTTTTTCTGCGTGCTGCATCATAACTCCACACTTAGAGATGGAGTTCCCTGTTTCTGGCTGTGTGCTATGTGATTGTGAATCAGCCCCGGGCCCCAACACCACACTGACACTCTGATAAATCATTGATCTTTCCTCTGGTTTTTAGTGCTGGATATTGCAGGGAGGAGCGACGATAGCAGCTCCATTTGGTCCACTGAGATCTGACGCAGGAAGTCATTAGTTTTATTCGAGTGCAAAGTGATCAGCATTTCTATTGCAGATGGATGGTTAAGACCTGTGTGTGTGTGTGTGTGTGTGTGTGTGTGTGTGTGTGTGTGTGTGTGTGTGTGTGTGTGTGTGTCTGTAGGAAGGAAGAGGAAGAAGAACAGAGAGTAAGGGGAGAGAGAAATGTGTGTGGGTGGCACCTGAGGATCAGGAGTGGAAAACTATTATCCAAACAAAGCGAGATGAAATTCTCAAGTCAAGGATGCATTAAGTCAGCATGAATGTCCTTTTGTCATTTTCCAAGGTTACAGACATCTCTGTCAAGATGTAGCCTAAGAAATCATGGTGTGACAACAATGGTTATGAGGTTTAATGCTAGCACATCCTCTTTCAATACACCATCAATCTTGCTTTGCAAGATAACCGGTGTACAACGTGTTTTAAGAATGACTATTTATGAAATGATTTAGCTGTATAAAATATTGGCTTTGCTTGCATGCTTGCAATCTATTTTTAGAAATTTATGATGTGGGTGTTAATTCAGAGAAAGGTGGCTTAAACTTGAGCAAACTTTAGTATCATTACTCAAAATTGAGTATGTGTTGGATCGCCCGTAGCATAGTGTTTGGTGCGCGGGCCCCGGCTTAGTTAGTCCTCCAAGCGGACAGCCCGGGTTTGAATCCAGCCCACGGCTTCTTTCCCGCACGTTATTCCCCACTCTCTCTCTCTCTCTCTCTCTCTCTCTCTCTCCCTCCTTGATTTCTAAAGCATAAAAAATAAATCTTAAAAAAATAAATAATGCTGTCAGAGCGACCTCTTTGCTCTTTAACAAAAAATTTCATTTTTGCGAGTGTTAGCCTGACAACATGTGAATGTGATCCTTAAACTACTATTTACAGCCCTGTGATTGAGTAGCTGGCTGTCTGAGGTGTACCTGATGTTTAAATGGAGGGAGGGTTGGAGGGGGAAATGTGAATGCAGCTGGCTTTGACTGTAATCTTTGTAAATGAGGCATCATATATTATGTGACAATATGTTTCTGACCTACAGTGCCAAATTTGACTTCTCTTAAAGTTCTACCACCTCACAATTCATAATGAATCATATTAAATGTAATGTAATCTACGAATGGGGTCATGTATCTTAAAACTGACAGGGCATTAATATGAGGTTCTTGTGAAAGTGGATAGTAATTTAGTCATACAAGTTATATCAACTGGGTTTATATCGATAATAAATGTTTAATTTACCTTAAATTAAGTAAAATAGTCAAATCAGATTACCTAAAGAAACTACAGTAATAATGGAGCTGTATACTAAAGTAATATTTTCTTTCATATTTCTGGGAATCGTAAACAAAAACACTTTTTACAACAAGTTTTTGCTTTTTGACATTTGGAATATGGTAGTTAAAGGAACAATATGTCTCCTGAATTAAATCATAAAATGACCTTTCTGTATCATCAGACATTGTGATATGTTGAAGGACTGGCTTATATGAGAACAATGCAGCAGCCCGTATGTCCTCCTTCAAAGCCTATTTAGGGTCCTTTTTTCTTTTTTTGACCAGAGAAGTAGGCGGTTTTAAGGCACCCCTATGCTGCCGTTTTGGCCCGCTCCCCTCAGTTTGCCAGGCAAACAACAAACCAACAGCGATGAAAGCGGGCAATCTAACTGCTATTTAACTCTAAAAATCCTCGTCATTTTTCTAACAACTACCACGACCAGAAACGTGGCAAAACTAGGATAAATATTGGAGATGCTTTTGAAAAAATGGAGAGAGGTTAGAGTTGACCAATGCAGAGCAGGCTAAACACTGAAGCTCCAGTGTCCGCGACATGGCAACCTGCATGCAGCTCGACTCTAGAGAGGAGGGGGCGGGGGGGAGACAGCTCTCTACAATGTTTAGAATTTGAACTGCAGTATTCATTTCAAACACCAGGTGTCAGAGTTACATATTGCTCCTTTAAAGTTCATGATGTGACCACACAGGGACACCCCCCCCCCATGTGTTGTTTAATTGCTTACAATTAAAGGTCACATTAAAGGGACAATAAGGTCAGTCTCTTTAAATTAAATGTTTATGCTTTATCAACGTAGTTTTGCTCTGTTTTTAATTACATGATGAGTGAAGTCATCTAAATAGGCAACACTGCTGTCAAATAAAGAAAGGCTTCACTCCTGCTGCAACAGTGTGGACAACAACCGGATAAGATAGCGTTAATTAAAAGCTCATTCACTAGTGCTACATTTTTGGTTATTTTGTGTAACCATGCATGTATACACATTTTTTTTTAAATTTACCCAATAGATATCACTAAATATAATATCTGGATGAACTGCTATTTCTTGTGTCTTGTGCCTAATTTACATGAATAATGGATGCTTTTCAGTTGGCAGGGAATGTGTGGGTTTGATCCTCTTTTAATTACAGGTTATGTGGAGCCTCGCTAATATCAAGCTTAAAAACATTCATCTTTATTGAGAGCATCAACTGACTTTGTGTAACAGGTGTTGCCCAAGTGCTGAACAGGCTGGATGGGAAACCATTCGACGACGCAGACCAGCGTCTCTTTGAGGTGCTACACTTCATTCTTTGTCTCTTTCTGCATTTCCCCTCTGGGATTACTCAAGTATAACATTTTAAAAAAGAAAATTAAATAAAAAAAAAAAAAATTCTGTATTTTTCAAACGATGCCTTAAAGTGTAATGTTGTTATTGAGAACGTCTGTTTTTTTTCTACTTATTTTAGGCATTTGTGATCTTCTGTGGGCTCGGCATCAACAACACCATCATGTACGACCAGGTGAAGAAGTCTTGGGCCAAGCAGTCTGTAGCTTTAGATGTAAGCACAAAACGTTTGATTTCATGCTTTAGCTACAACTTGGAAATGTTTTCAAAGCGTTGATTTGTGCTCTGCTTTACTTTCTTTATGCTCCTCTCCTCATTCCCTCCTTCAGATATGTTTTCCCCTCTGCGTCCTCTCCGTTCTTCCCATTAGCTATAATTGTGCCTTCATTTTAATTTTTAGTCAACATATGTTCTGTGCTGAAACATTTACCCAGAAGTCAGTGGAATTCACCACTGCTGCCTGGCAAATATACAAACTCTTCTTACTTCCTCTCTCTCAGTGGTCTGTGTGCTTGGCTCCGTTTTTTTCTCTCATTTTTTTAAACTCATATTTCCACAAGAATCTACGCATGAAAAAAAAAATGCTGATCTCTCTTTGCAGATAACCTTCTCACAAAGGTTTTATTGAGAATTAATGAGAGGCAGTGAAAAGCAATCCCTCATCTGCCCTGCAGTATGCAGCCATTCAGCACAAGTCAGCCTTTACAGTTTGTCCTTAGATTACAATGGGGATCTTTCAGGTGCATTATAGTAGTTAGGACGGCTCTTTTTCACAACAGGGGAAGCAGAGAAGAGAGATAGAGAGAGAGAGCGTTTAAAGGAGGGGAACAGAATTAACTCATATGTAGATGCATTGCTTCTGGCAGCACTGAATAAACATGAGCATTTATGATCAAATAAGCAGCTGCAGGTCTGTGTGAGGTATTTCTCTCAGGAAATGAAGGGAACATGGCGATGGAATCAGGGCTGACATCGCTGCTCTTGTAGACTGTTCTAGAGACCAGGGTCGACTTGCTCATAAAGAAGATGATCCAGCGTATCCCTGTAAAGGTTGTGTGCACTATTTTCCAGCCACAGCCAAAGTTTTTCTTTTGCTCGAGACTTGGAGGTTATTTTAATGGTTTAAAATACACATTGCATGACTTTATGTAATTATTTTGCAGGTGCTGTCTTACCATGCCACTTGTTCCAAGACGGAAGTTGATAAATTCAAGGTAACACATAATCAGTTTTCATTATTAAAGGTTTCGATTATCTTTTTTTTTCTGTCAATACAAACCAGAGGTTAAATTTTTTCAAATACTTTGCTCAACAGAGACATTGACGTTAACTCACATAAAACATTGCAATTTGAGTCAGAGACTGGTATACTTATAAGTGACCCAAATAAATTAAACAATAGAGTTCAGTTGTGTCTTTACTTCTGTAGACATTTGACAATCAAAATCATCTTTTACAGACTGAGATAAAAAAGTATTTTATGGGGCTGAAACGTCGATTCTTTTGTCAAAACAGTTGATACCATCAAATACATTTTTTTCCTAAGTTTCCTAAAATAACACAAAACATGGAGCTCTATTTGTCCAATCAGATTACAGCAAACCAACATATTGCTACATTGTGAAAATTCTTAAGCAACATACAATCATTCACAAATATTGTAACGATATGCAACAGACGCTTTCCCGTCAAAAGTTGTATTTCCTGAATTTTGAACCCTCGACAAGCAAACTGCTCCAAATGAATAGAGATTTCTCCCTGTGTGACCAAAAACTGATCAAGTGTATTCTCTTGGGCTGTAGACCTCCCCTATTAAAGCATGGCTAAAAGTAATCAATAAACCCCAGTATTGCCCTGGGTGAAATGTCCTCTTATGATAAGAAAGGACGAATAACTTAAAGTAAACATCATGTTATGGTTGTTTTTGCCTAAATATAAAAGATATTGTGTAAATGGATGAAGTAATTTCTTACCATACCTCACCTACTTTAACAAATCCTCATACCACCATGCAAACATTCTCAATTTGTGATCATCAGGTTTGCTCTGGTGGTGCATGTAATTGCCATGATCAATTTTTTTTTATTGTTTTCCACTTTTTTCAATGCATTCCTTAATGCATAGGCTTTATACTGAGTTCAATTAAGACATATTAGAGAAAATCAAAGATATTAAAGGCTCATTGTTATGAGTGTTATGGGAAGAAAAACTTGACTTAAAATGAATTAGTTTTGCCCATGAGCTACATCATTGAGATATATAATCTCATCTAATGAAGTAACAATGTCTCACTATCTTAAATGGGGGAAAAAAGACTATGGCAATAGAAAGTAGTTATTGGCTTTCTGACTTCAAGATTTCATTCTCCAGTTCTTGCAAAGAGCTGTGGGGTAGCATACATCGAGGCTGAGAATTCCACAAAGAAAATAAACTAATTGTGATATTTGGAGTAAATTATTCCAATCAATAGGCCATTATTCTCTATGCATTATTTATAAAGATGGAAAAATCAAAATATCTACATTTTTAATTGGCATGACATTTCTGAAATATAGATATGACCTATTTTCCTGCACTTTCATGTGGAGGATTTTCCCCTGTGGCCATTACTGCAGAGTAGGATCCCGGCTTTCCAGCGTGCTGGTGTGATCCTTCAGCCTCCCAATCCACCAGCTGCCTGCCTCCTTCCTTACACCCCCCCCCCCACACACACACACACACTTTCTTTCATAACTACTCAACATATGAAGCCTAATGGAGGACTGGGATTCAACCAGAGTGCAAAACAAACCTGGCTGACATTTAGTAACCTGCGGATGTGAATTAAGAGAGAGCAGAGTACCAGCTGACCTGACAGGGAAAACGTGGAGCTCTGATGGCCCGATAGAGAAGTGAGAGAGAAACACTGACACAGATCTGTAAGAGAGCTTCAACTTGTTGGAATGAGATGCAGGTTAGAAAGCGTGAAATAGTCGAGTTATGAATGCAGAGGAAGAGGCAGAAGAGACGTGTGCTCGTTAGATCACTTTGTACACTTTGAACATAGAAGACACAGAAGCTTCAGGATGCATTTGGTTAATTGTAACCACATATGTCTTCCACGTTTTGTTTGAATAATATAAAAAAGGGCAGTGGATGATTACTGTTGCACAGATAGGTTTATCAATGAGATCAGAAAGTAAACAATCCTCCGCTAAGCTCCCTCATTAATCTTAACCCTCTTAGTCCTCAGAGTCTTAATTAGCATATCTCCATGTTTCCATGTATCATCTGAAAATGGCACAGCGTCCCCTGACCTCTTAATCCTCCCATGCTCTCTGACCTCATATTCTCGTTCCTAATGAATGTTTCCTCTCACACCCCTGAAACAGGCTGCTAACATCCCTCTGGTTTGCGAGCTGGGCATCGACATGCTCTCCTTTGACGATTTCTCTCTGGACGTCGACGCCATGATAACGGCCGCTCTGAGGATGTTCATGGAGTTAGGAATGGTGCAGAAATTTAAGATTGACTATGAGGTGCGAGCTCTCACTTCGTCGTCTATTTTAATTCAATATATGACTGAATTTACCCAGAAGCCTGTTCCTTTTAGAAGCACAGTGCTGACATATCCTCATGACGACCGCTGACCCGTGTGCTCATTCGTCTCTCTGTCTTCCCCTGCAGACGTTGTGCAGATGGTTGCTGACTGTCAGGAAAAACTACAGAATGGTTCTCTATCACAACTGGAGACATGCCTTCAATGTCTGCCAGTGCATGTTTGCCATGCTAACGGTAGGTATCGTGCTGCTGTAACTAAAAGATCTTATTTCAGTCAGAGACACTGTGGAATAAGAAAACATTCATACTCTTAGATAACTTACTTTACTTCTGTAAAGGTACTTGTTGCATAGATACTTTAACAACTAGGTTCCATAGTTTTACATTTAAATGAAAATCTGTTTTGTTCAAGACCTTGAAGAACAAGTTCACTGAGTGTTTGTTAAGCCTTTAATGTCCAGATAAATCTCTCCATATGTCACAGCATCGTGTAGTTTTAGATTCTGTTGTTGCAGCAATATTTGACCACTGGTACACCGGTAATGATTCTTATCACCCAGCACTGATATGAGCTGAAGATGGGAGCAACAGGAGTAGTATAGAGCGTGAGGAATAAAAAACACAGGGATTGGCAGCAGGGACAAACAAGGATAACCATTTGTGTGCTCAGTTTGGTAGAGGACATTTGTCTTAAGCTTGTATGTTCTCACTAAAGTTAAGAATTAAAACAAAGATCCCCACACTGTATTAAATGCTCCCAGCAATTTTAATTTCAAAAGTAACGTTTGGGATCTCACAGCTCTTCTTCAGGCATGGTCAAGTTATGTTCTCGCTGCCACACAGGGAAGAGAAAAGTAACACACAACCAGTTTAAGAGATGGACTGTAAGGTTTTTTATTATGGCATTATGAGATCAGAAAAAGTGACACATTTTAGGTTATGATGACAGCATTGTTCTCCTGTATGGATACTCTGCTGAAACTCTTAGCTCTTTTAAATTGAGGTTGAAGACACATCTGTTTACAGCTGCCATTAAACAGCTTTAGTAAGATTTTAAACTTTTACTCTGCAGTCTGCACTGTAATTATTATTATTATTTTTTAACTATAATTTATTTTAATTTTAATTTTTAATTTTTAATTAATTTATTATTTTTTTTATTTTAATTTTAATTTTTAATTTTTTTAATTTTTTAATTTTTTAAATCAATTTCATTTAAATTATTTTAATTTGAACATATTTTCAGATGTAATAATTTCAGTGATTTCTAAATGTTCTATTTTAATGTTTCTTTTCTTTTCTCTGTCATGATGCTTCTGATGTCTTGTGTGAAGCACTTTGAATTGCCTTGTTGTTGAAATGTGCTATAGAAATAAACTTGCCTTGCCTTGGTTAGAAAGTTTGTACATGACAAGATTCTGTAAGCTATGTCCAAACAGCTGAGATTCATTTAATGCCTCGTTGCGATACTTACTAAACACACAGCCAATTCTGTGCAGAGTCAAACCAGCAACATTTGTTTGAACAGAGACCCCCCCAAGAGAATTACTTCATCAGGCCTACTTTATCAAGTCCTTTGGGACAACACACACTCACGAACATGCGCTGTTATTCAAACACACCACAGAGTAGTTCATTTAACACAGCATCAATGCAGAGCCCCATCTGAATTGATTATTGGCAGGGGGGAATGAAATAGCAGTGTGTAAACTGTTCTGTGGCCCTCCACTCTCTCGCCATGTGCTCTAATGAGAGGACTGAGGGTCGTGCTATCTTTTCCTCTATCCTCATGTTGACCTGTAGTGACTCACTCAGCTCATGGCCTCCAGAACCTATTTATCCATTTGACTGTGTTCCTGCAGCCCCACTGGCTGACCTGGGAGAAACTGTTTTTATTTAGGACAATGCTGCTATTTCGTAGAATAAGAGCTGCTTTGATCAAGTAGTGTGTGTGTGTGTGTGTGTGTGTGTGTGTGTGTTGTGTGTGTGTGTGTGTGTGTGTGTGTGTTTGTTTTCTCATTGACCTGCCTTCCTCTCTGCCAATCAGACGGCGGGTTTCCAGGAGACGCTGACTGAGGTAGAGATCTTAGCGCTTATTGTGGGTTGTGTGTGCCATGACTTGGACCACCGGGGCACCAACAACGCGTTTCAGGCCAAGTAAGTGTTGGCTGCTTAATGTGTGTGTCTGCCATACACACACATAAACACACTCCCTCCAACGCACTGTTTACAGCATGTTTCCCACCTTTAGCATCAGGCTGCAGGAGCCCAACCCAGATCAGGCAGAGCCAAGTGGCAGATTGTATAAGGCTTATATAAGGGTCTGCATAATGATGAGTGTGTACACATTCAGATCAGCGGGTAATACTGCCATTCAAATAAAACCTTAAACCTAGTGTTCTCCATCCTCACAAAGGTTATTATAGCTAAAATGGATCTAAGATGGTAATGGGAGGGAAAGGAAATGTTAAGTAGGAAAAGGCTCCTGTCGACAATACAGTGTGACAATGTTTTATTTAGCAGATGCTTTTGTCCAAAGTGACGAACATCTCAGATTAAGTAAAACAAAAGCGAGTACCTCTAAAGGATGATGAAAACGTCTGTAAGTGCCAACAAACATCTTCAAGTTTGATGAGACACAGGTGCTGACAGGTAGCCAAGAGACGCAATGCACATGTTGTATAGGAATGATTTAAAAAAAAAATGTAATCATTAACAACAACATCAGCAGCTTCATCATCAACATCATTAAAGGTAGAGTCAGTAGCATTGTTCGTTTCATCTTGTAAACACAACATTTCAAACTGGACCCCCTCCTTCTGGTCTTATTGCTCCCTGAAGCACACACTCACTGCAGGATGTAGTGTGTACATTTCTGCTTGTACCTACACTGCCAGCACGCTAGCACAAGCTAACTGCCGTAGTTTGACACCTGCACAGAAGGCAGACCAACTCCGCGCCCGCGGGTTAAAACCAATCCATGCTATGTCCATGTCCGTAATGTTGGCCGGTTTGATGTGTGTCCAATCCCTGAATTGTACGCCCCTCCTAAACTCAGCTGTGTGCTGTCATTGGCTGGAGGAAAGAGACCAGCTCCTCGCCCGGAAACATCTTGTGTCAACCAAAACAAAACAAAATATCAACATACAGTCAGAGGACAGGATCTCTGCAGAAACAGTCACCACCACACATCTAATGGCGGGCTCGTTAGTAATGATTGAGTAGTATTATTTTTTTTATTTTATGTGTTTAGGAAACACCTGCTGACTCTTTCTTTGTGTGTAGGTGTTCATGAAAGAGTTGGGTCTTGAGCTTTTTTCTTAAAGAAAGGCACTCTGCAGATCAAAAGTTTGGTAATTCATTCCACCAAATGGGGGATACAGAGGAGACTAGTTTAGCTAGTGACTAGCGGCCCTGTTGTGACGGTTGGACCAGGCATCTTTCATTGGTGCTGCTTTGCTAAAGTGCTCATGATGGATAGGCTGGGTCTTTGTAACATAACAATGAGTATGGTCTTTTACCTGCTTTTTAGTAAAGTGTCTCAAGATAACACTTGTTATGAGTTGACGCTATACAAATGAAAATTGATTGATTGATTGGCAGAGCGTAGTGGACGGAAGGTAGTGTAGACCAGGGTGAGGGAGTTTAGGTAGGGAGGAGCCGTTTATGTTGCTTTTTTAATGGAGCTACAGGGTTTCAAATTTGACGCGAGCAGCTACTGGGAGCTAGAGGATGGAGATGAACAGCTGTGATATGTACTGTTTATGGTTGGTTGAAGACCAGGTGTGCTGCTGTGTTCTGGATCATCTGCAGAGGATTGAATGTGCGTGCAGTGAGACCTGCCAGTAAGAAGTTGCATTAGTCAGTATGTGATATAACATAAGCTGAAGAGCTGTGCATTGTGCTCTGACAGGAAGGGTCCGATCCTCCTGGTGTTGTACCATGTGAACCTTAGAGTTCAGCTGTTCCTCCGGCTATAAGTTTATTTAATAAAAGCTAGATACTGAGCTCCCAACTGTCCTTATTATCGCAAATGTCACTAGTTCAATAGTTTTTCATGTTATTTTACAAACAAAGGCAAAAAGAAAGACAAATACTGTCAAAGTAGTTTTTCTGTTACTCAATTCATTTAGTCATATTTAATGGGAGATCAATAGCTTGTGATCGATGGCTGTTTGAAGTCTACATCCTTTTGTTTTAGGCAGGAACATGGTATTTTCAAATGTAACTCTTCAGACAAGTAGTGTAGTTAGATCCACTACTTCTTTGTTTTCCTGTGTTCCACCTGTAAGTTGAGGATTATTGTCACACATCTAGATAGGACAGTGGATAGAGCTGGAAATCAGGGAGACAGAGAGTGGGGAACGACATGCGGGAAAGGAACAACAGGTCGGATTTAAACCTGGAAACCCGCCTGGAAGACTATAGCCTCCATATATGGGGCGCGCACACTAACCACTGCCCCACCAGCACCTTATCGTGATGCTTTATCACATCTAAATTACATTTCCATCAGTGTTTGTGGATTAAAGTTAGTTAACGGAAGTTATTCGCAGCCATTAGTCTGTTCAGAGACAAATAGGTTAGTTCAATGATGATAAAGGAAAAAGTTACAAACTGCCAAAGTCTCTTCTTTAAAATCTTCTTCTACACCGGGCTGAATTCTCCAAAGTGTCTCCTCTCCACATTAAATGATCATCTTCAGTGTGAAACTGTTGCATTTCTACTGCAGTTTAGGTTATAGCTCTCTAGCTTCTTTGATATTGAGCCATAAGTGTAGAAGATCAGTAAGGGAATCACAACAGACTCAACACTTTGTTTCTCAGTATGTGTTAAATCCTGATTATGCTATTTCTCTTCTCTATCCCTGTATGTGTGTGTGTGTGTGTGCATGTGCGTATGTGTGTGTGTGTATGCCAGGACGGGCTCAGCCCTTGCTCTGCTTTATGGGACCTCTGCTACGCTGGAGCACCACCACTTCAACCACGCTGTTATGATCCTGCAGAGCGAGGTGCACTATGTTCCAATATCTGCTGCAATGCAGTTACCATGAAGTTGTACCTCCACCGCATGTTGTGTTTGAGCAATACATTGAAAATATACAGAGGCAATTAAAAAAAACAAAAAGACCAACAACACTTTCTCCTTCAAGACCCCTTATTTCTAAGGTTTTAGGTGTTTACTCTCGTGTTTCATGCTCTAACAAAGACAATAGACTGCAATGCTCCGTTTTTTTATTTATTACTAACTCCTGGCCAAAACTAGTCCAGCATACAAGAAGAATATTATTCAAGAAAATATTCTGAGATGAAGGATCCTGCTATTAATCACACTGTAGATGAGAAGCAAGCATACTTCCCCAAAATGTCAATTGATTTTTATGTCACAACATTTAACATGATAAAAAAACATTTGAGTGCAAACATGGAAAACATACTCAGCTGTAAAGTCATGTTGGAGTCGAGGAACCAGAAGTCAAACCTACTATATTTCTAGCTATCTAGCAGAAGCTAAAAGACCTAAAGCCAGCCTTCCCTCGTAGAAACAAACAAACAAACCAAAAAAAAAACATGAATGTTTTTTCCCCACCGTACCTTACAGTATCCATGTGTTGCTTTAATGTCGACTTTAATGAAGAAACGGCTCACGCAGCCTCACAACGTAATCACAGAGGCCATAGATTCTCTGGTAATTGGTTGAGGGAGACATCTTACCAGGTGACTGGGTTTGTATCAAGTTGTAATTAAAGACATTTTGAGGGAGAAGCTAAGGGGAGGATAGGCTGGGGGGGGGGGGGTTCCAGTGGCTTCATTATCAAGGTGCTGACAACACAGTGAGCTGACAAATGTTGGCTTAGAATATCATAATGGGTTCTGTTGATACTGGGGTTGAACTAACGCTGTCCCATTAGCATATAAATGAATAGTGGGGCTAATTTGCAGTATAATTGGCTGTTTTGCACAAACCAACAGATTAAAATGTAAACTTTCAAACATCACTAAATCCCTTTGTTCTATCACTCGTGTCGCTCGTGATCTGAGACGATATTTTGACTTCTCTGCTCATTTCTGCAGGTCTTTATCACTCTCTCAATCTTCATCCTTTTCTGTTATCACTTCTACATCGTCTATTTTCTCCACGGACAGACACATCCATCTGTTCAAACCCTCCTTGAGAGGACAGAGTCTAAGTGGTGAATGGATGTATAATACATGATGGGGAGAGGTTTTTTTTTTTTTTTTATGACATAGAGCCTCAAGTGAGAGATGTTGCTTCCTCATTAACAGCTGCTGGGTTCCCTCCTCCCCCTGCACACATCCATTCAGTTTTATTATTGCCTGTTTATTACAGTAAGGGTTAAACTGAGGAATTATAGACCATTTTTATTTGAAACTTTTTGGCATGTTATGGTGGAGAAATAGTTTGCTCAAAAGAAGGTATGGATGGTTTTATACACTTGTGAATTATTCTCATAAGTAACTGACAGGTCACATACATGTTATTAACACACGTCTGAGATGTTTGCACTATGCAATAAATCACAATGTCATCACCAAATGAGCATTCACAATAAATACATCAGAAAAGTTGAATGTATAGCAATAAAAGAAGAAAAAATATCTTAAATAAATGAGCAATGCTTTTTTACTTACCATGTTTAGATTTTAAACCATAGGATGGATGGTTGAGTATAATGACCATGCTTTGACAACATTTTGATGCATTCAGATGTAGCTTTAGCTAGCTAGCACTTACCCTCAGATTAATTCATGCCAATGCAGTGTTTGGAAGACATGTCCATTTGGATTTATTTTGGATTTAGTCAATACGTGTTGCAGACAGAGATTGTATAAAAACATGAAGAACAGCAGATTGTTGTAGAAATTGTGAGTTATAGCTAATAAGCAGCCTATAATCTTTATTTATTTATTGCAATTTGTTTTTCGCAGCTTTGAAGAACTGTAACCACACACACTGCATATTTTGTCACATTGTTTGGGCTTGCTAGATGTGAAGCATTGCACTCTGGGATTGTTATCAGAATGTAGTGTAAAAGCAGCAGCTACTCTTTAGTTCCATTGTGTCAAACTTTTCTACAATTTGGACATTAAAAGGAAAATATTGTGCACTTGACTGTTTTTGTAAAAAAGGAATACCTCCTGACACAGTAATGTTCCTGCTGACTCACTGTTATACTATCAGGGCTTAATGGTTAATGCTATTAGTAACACCTGCTCTGTCTTGTGTATAAAACATCCATTAAGGAAAACCAAAGCAGCTTCTCTGATGGTGTGAAAGCTCAAGTCTTTGAGTTACTTTGGTTCATCGGCTAGTTTTGATTTCCCATCACAAGGATTATTACCATATTACAAACATAGATATTTACTTCTTAAGAATGGGGGGAGTCTACCTGCTAATGTGACTAAACTTTGTTTTTTTTGTCAATTACTTTTGACTATTTTTTTTTTTCTCACAATCTAAATATAATATCAATATGTATATGTGTGTATGTGTGTGTGTGTGTGTGTGTGTGTGTGTGTGTGTGTGTGTGTGTGTGTGTGTGTGTGTGTGTGTGTGTGTGTGTGTGGTTTGAAAAAAGACATGTTCACAGATCAGACTGATCATAGGGTCATCTCTGTATTTGTCTCCGCAGGGTCACAATATCTTCTCCAACCTGTCGTCCACAGAGTACAGTGATCTCATGCAGCTGTTGAAACAGTCCATTCTGGCCACAGACCTCACACTTTACTTTGAGTATGTTCTGCTCAACACCACACCGCTTATCAAACTATTCAATCTCCTGACAGGGAGATGTCCACAGAGTATTTTAACTACATTACAATGAATCAGTTTCTGTGCACCACTTACAATCGATTTGCAAGCTTCTTTTTATGTAACACCGCCCCCTTGTGGATTTAATTTGACTTACACCTTCATGCACTGTGTCTTGTTTCCCTGCAGGAACAGAAACATCTTTTTTGAGCTGGTCAGCAATGGAGAGTACAACTGGAATGTGAAGGGTCATAGAGACATGTGCAGGTAAAAATATGGCATCTTTTGTTTACTTTTAGATGAAGATTATTTAGTGAAAAGTCTTAATGCTTGTACATAGAGAGCAAAGTTAAACTGTAGTGGAATTCCTTCTATGAGTAAACATACCTGGCCAATAAAGTTGATTCTGAAGATTTAAAAAGACACCCCCAGAAAAAAAAGTCTGTATGACCTCTTACAGATCCATGATGATGACAGCGTGTGATCTTGGTGCTGTCACTAAACCCTGGGACATATCCCGCAAGGTGAGAAACACGGGGTTAACTGTCTGATATATAGTAATGCTAATAATACAAAATAGTGGTGTTAAAGAAAAATAACAGCAACTGTTTCCATTATTGGGACTTTCATCCTCAATCAAAAACACCAAACATTTTCTTTTAGTCGTCTGAAACTGAATGTCTTCAGATTTTTGGGTGTTGGTCAGAAAATCAGTCCATTTTCTTCACCTTGGGCTGTACTGTGTCAAGCTTTCCTTACATCATATAGACCAAACAATTGATTGAGTCTTTGGAAAAAAATAGAAGGTCTTCAATCAATAAAAAGATCGTTAGCTGCAGCCCTATAGGTTAATCTTCTCCCTCATTTCAGGTGGCTGAGTTGGTGACCAGCGAGTTCTTTGAGCAGGGCGACAGAGAGAGATCGGAGCTGAAGCTCACACCCTCAGTGAGTATATCCAAGCACCTCTGCTTTTTCTACTTTTGTGCAGTTTGTTTTCACCTCTGTGACCTACGAGTGAGCTGATGATGCTGAAGATAGATTTTCTCTGCAGTCTCTGAAAAAACACACTGACTGTGTAGGAAACATGAGCGCTTGTGTCTCGTAGTGCGAGAAAAGTGAATTGTCAGCGTGACCGCTCTGCTGCCTCGCTGCACAGTGCCAAGAGCAAATTGTAGACTGTGTAACAATCATTCTTAAAAAACAGAATCCTCCTACATAGGATTCAAAGCAAACACTGACCTCTCTACTCAGTCAACTGCAAACACACAATAAATGTTGGCGTCATTCACTTATTCTCGCTTTGATTGTTAATTACTTTTATTTTTTCATATAGTTGTAAAAATAGCATCAAAACAAAAGAAGGAGAGAAATGGTCCTAAAAGGGACTTTTGAATTCATAAGCTTTTTAAAGCCACAGCAGCACAACAGAGGAGCGCTGTGTATTTGATTGAGGAGCTTTGAAGGCTCAACTGTGTTGCAAGTTCTTAAAGGGGGGGGACAAACCAGCAGCTTTCCGGGTGCAATTAATGGCCGTGGACTAATCGAGCCAGGCCACATTGCCTTCCCCTCTGATATAACTAATGCAGAAGCCTCAGGGTTGCAGCTTATGTCAAACCTTTACCGCTCTGCGTGTGTGTGGGTGTTTGGAAATGAAATATTAACTTCTAAGTTGTCGCCCAGTAACTATCTCTGAAGCACAGCCTTACTGAGGCTGCAGGAGAATGAGGCAGAACAGAGAGTGTAAGCTACATGAAGTGAATTGTTTTGAGAGCGGAGGGAGATTTATTTTTTTGTCTTTAATCAAAGAGTTAACAGGAAGGAAGTATACAGATCCCTTACCTTAGTGAAAGAGTCCAAACAATAATGTTCAAATACTCCAGGACCAGGACATGTCATATGATGTCATGGTTTTTATTGTCAGTAATAATTACTTGAGGTATTGAAAGGAAAATAAATCAAGCTCACAGGCTGACCAACATTGTAATAAAAGTAAAACCCTTTCAAATCCTGCAATCACCCCACAAACTGAACTGTTATTATTTCAGTCTAATCAATTTTTAACAATGCAACCTTGTTCAAAATTAGTTATGCAACCCCTTCAGCAATTAGACATTAATAAAGTATATTTGCTATTAGTATAATAAAAATATTGATAATTAGCGGCCATGAGACAATGTAATATCGCCACACAAAATATTGCGATACTATGCTGTATTGATATTTTCCCACACTTCTAATATGTAGCATATAACTGCTGTAGATGTTCAATCTAAAACTAATTTGACCTTTTTTTGGACACATGTGGGTCAACAGAGAACACCAAGCATCATATTCTATAGAGAGCTGAGAGAGCTGACAATAGTACTTATCAAAACCAACGTTACAAAGTGCCTAAAAAAAAAAATCCAACAATAAAAAACAGGTACACAACAGTGTAAGAACATCTTACAACATGAATAAATGAAACAATAAAACACAGCATGGATAAAAGCACAGAATTGACGCTTGTAATTCAAGTTATTTAAAAGAAGATATTTCTGAGAATTTAACCTTTGAGCTCAGAAAACAGCTTAAATCGGATTCAAAGCACAGTACATTTAGTTTCAGAAGTGGTAGAATTCTCTCAAAACATAAGGAACAATAAATCCGTCATTTGATCAGAAAATATCTGATTTGAATTCACTAGTGGGGAGTGGGAGATGTTACTTTTCTATCTGATCTGAACCAAAAATAGTGATCTGAAAAGTATCTTAAGCTGACAGACAGATCCATAAGACAAAGAAGATGGAAAGTACAATATCTTCCTCTGACATGTGGAGTAAAAGTAGAAAAACAGTACCTCACATTTGTACGTAACCTCAAAGTTATTTAAACTTGTAAAGTAAATGTAATCCCTTACACTCAAACTCTGCACTTTATCAGAATCAGAATCAGATTTATTGTCCAGGTTTGCTTACATACACAAGGAATTTAACTTTGGTGAACTGTGCTCTCTTATGTACAGGTACAACATTAAATATCAACAATAAACATAATAAGAAAAGACTAATATTTACATGACTAAATATGAAACAGTGCAGTGGTGAATAGTGCAAAAGATGCTGAAGTAACATGATAAGTAAAATGCAGTTATGTGACAGATGGGTCAATTAAGATTCACACTCACTAAGTTGTCAGGTGTGAACATAATGTTGGTGAAAATTAAATCAGACTTTTTGTGTTTCAGGCCATCTTTGATCGAAACAGGAAGGATGAATTGCCCGGGCTGCAACTAGAGTGGATTGACGGAATTTGCGCGCCGCTCTACGAGGTAAATTGAGACTCAGAAATGCGTTGATGTCAGAAAGATTTGTAGTGAATAGTGAATTGTCCTGATTTTGTTATATTGTTTACATACTTTATGTCCTGTTTTGCTCCATTTTTATGTTTTCAATGTTTGTATGTAATTTCCAATTGGGTAAATTTTATTAGTGAAAGTAAATATTCTTATTTTGTTATTTTTACTGTATTTTATTTTAACTTCGTTTAATCTCTTAAGGTGAGGTTTTGAGATAAGCCCTTTCTACCTCACCTGCACATGTGTTTTATTTTTATTTGTTTTAATATTCTGTTTAACTCTTCTTTCATGTGCAAATAAACTAAAAACTCAACTCAACTCAACTAAACTAGGTACAGCTGCGAGCTCCTTCGCTCTCTGATCTTCTTTGTGTCCTGTTTGTCACACATCCAACCTCTGACGTCAGTAGTTGCTATCCTTCCTCTCTTCTATTGTTTACCTGTACTGACGCCAGCAGATGAAGCTGTCCCTGTAGTTACAGATTTCCCTCTAAAAGATACTTTTTTTTTCTTCTTTTGCACTGAAAGCTCTCTGAAACAACTTCAAGGTTGCATCCTATTCTTTTGAGAGGAGCAGAATGAGTTTGCTCTTTGTGAAGGCATGAAAAAACTCAGAGGAAGTGGAGTGTGTGCACAGAGCTGTGATGTGAGTCGGGTTAAATCCCCTCAGTCAGACAGTGTACTCTGAGCTTTGCAGCACAGTAATGAAATAAGCGACGTCTGACTCTTGACTGTAGCACTCTTCTTCTGACAATCTTCGGCTAAAATTGTTTTTTTTAAAAGAGCTGGTTTTATTTCTTGACTCCGGCTGCACAAATGTAAGGTACACCATTAGAGAGCTATTGGTTATCGTTCAGGGACTTTAATGGAAATCTATACAGCCGGCCGAGTAATGCATGGTACAGTATATTATGTGCATGCGTGTGTCTCTGTGACGTCAAGAGAGACTCACAAGCCCCCCTACCCGTCACCGACTGCAGCAGCACCAGCAGCAGCTGTGTGGGAGAAAGACGCAGGCTGGCTCACTGAGCAGATCAGACCTGTTAGGAGATGAGGTGTGTCCGAGGTGAATCCACTAAAGCAAACAAATTGTAGAAGAATTCAAGGATAAAAAAAGGCAATTCATTAAAGACCCTGCCCTCCTTTTACGTTATATTAAACACATAACTCTGAGTCTTCATGAATAAAAAAACATCTATCGACTTATCCCAGGATCAGTGGCCGAAGTCAGAGCAGACTAATCTCTGGCCATCGCTGTATTCACCATTGTTACTGTTTGTGTAGTCGAGATAAAAAGCATCAAAGTGCTGTTTGTGTGTGTGTGTGTGTGTGTGTGTGTGTGTGTGTGTGTGTGTGTGTGTGTGTGTGTGTGTGTGTGTGTGTAGACTGCGTGGGGGATTCGTCTCCACACAGCCGTATATAAAGGCTGATGTTTGAAGAATGCAGATATGGAGCTCACGATCATGCTGCCAATTAAATCTGCAAAGGGGGGAGAACAGAGGGAGCTCAAAGGCGGCAATGTTTTTGTCAGTGGGCGGGGAGATCTTTCCTTCTTGATCTCGCTGATCTCCTTCTCCTGGTAGCTCGCTTCTTTGTGGAATATTAATCCCCCATTATGTAACCTTTCATCTTTACACCCCACCACATGACAGTGTCCCTCTCTTCCTCTGCTTCAGAGTTTTTTACCTCAGAAGGGAATAATGATGCTGTGCAAAAAAAAACATTCCAGTGACCCACAGTGGGTACACATGTGGAGGAAGAGGAACGTTCTCCTCCTTTAACCTGCAGATTTTTGTGGGTCACATGCCATCACAGTGTGGTGATGCTTTCAATGATTAATTCAATTCAAATTCAAATTTAAATTCAAATTTAAAAAAACTTTATTTGTCCCTGGGGGGCCGGGGGTGGGGGGGGGGGTGGGGGGGGGCAATTCAAAGGCACACAGAGCAGTAAATTAACAACAGTGCAGCTAAAATAGAAAGTGTCAATTTAAATACAACTTAAAGCTTAAACTTAAAATACAAAATATAAAAAGAGTAGATATGAGTAAACAGTGATCGGACTAACAGATGTAAACAGAACTATGTGCAGCAGTGACCAGATAAACATCTTTGTCATCATAAGCACACACACAAAGTCTGTTATGAATGAATACTTTCATTATCAGAACATCTGCAACGATTGTTAGGTCTGTGAAATACTTATAATAATAGTGCCTGATTCAACTCAAAAACATTGTGTTCTCTGAGATAACAAATTAATCAGAAAAATTGTTTCAATAAATAATAACAACGATTCAATTTATTTTAACAAATACCAGACAATAGGAAAAAAACAGCATATTTCTAAGCACAAGTTTGTGTCTTTAAATGGCCTGTTTTAACACAAGTTCTTATTTTTAATATTAGTAAACAAAAAGCAGCAATACCTGGAGGTTGGGTTTGGCCTTTACTCTAAAAATGTCTTCAATGATTCTAGAAAAGTCAACAAATTCAATCAGCACTACTTCATACACAAAATAAACACAAATGACAAAGCTAGAAAAATAAGTGAACCGTTCAGACTCTAAATCAAATATGGACTCAATCCTAAATCAAATAAAATGGAGACCCATGTCTTACTGTAACACATCTCTGCACTGCAGGTAAACAGCATCATAATCAGCCACACACAATAATTACAAGATTATGACTTCACGCACAGCTTTTAAAAACACTTCTTAGGACATATTATATATTTCTAATGAACACATGTGGGCAGATGTTTTTGTTTGTTTGTTTGTATTTACAAAGAAAATCATCTTGGTGTGTGAACTCTGCCAGATTATGAACTCTTTGTTCCGGGCGACCACCCACACATGTGTTTGAGTTGTTGGTATGAGGAAGTCAATGCAACCTCTGGAAGCAAATGCAGCTCAAATTTGCACATCTGCATTTAAAACAATGTTAATGGACGGCTGTGATTTAATTTGACAGAATTGATTTTCCTTTCTTACATTCAAATCACAATCCAGAGTGTAGGTGGTTACTTACTTTCCAAACTTTTGATTTCATTCAGTTTCATAACAGCTGAGTGTGAATTAATTAATATTACTTTGTGTGGGACCCATGCCCACATTTTATATTTCCATATGAAACGGGGTTAATGAAACAATACCTAATTACATAATTTTATATCTATATCGATATATATATATATATATATATATATATATATATATATATATATATATAGATGTATATAGTGAGTGTGAATGTATGAATGTTTCATTGTTTTGTATGTGGGACCCATGCCCACACCTTATATTTCCATATGAAACAGGGTTAATGAAACAATAACTAATTACAGTCTTCCCTGGATATCCAACAGATGTGGAACACAATTTCCCCCTCTCTCAGGTGATTTATGAAAAGGCTGGATGACGGCTTTGACTACACAAACACTTGCAGAGAAATGACAAAATGAGACTTATCTCAGTAATACATGTGCTTCTAATCTTTACAGCGCAGCCACATAATTGCCTTTAACTATAAAGCGACAGTATGTTGCTGTTATTGAGGAAGGGGGTTCTCTGTATTGTTTTATGTTTTGTTTTTTTTGTCCAGAAGGTGTATTTAAAGAATAATGTGCTGATTCTTCAGCATGTTTGTCGGATCGGACTACATGCTTTTCATTAGCACTTACTGACGTTGTTCCCTCCTCTCTAGATGCTTACGTTGTAATAACTCAGATTGGACAAAAGCGTCTGCAGAATAAATTGTAGAATTGTAGAATTACGATCCATGCCTCCTGTGTATTATTACAATCAAGTGACAGAACTTAGCATAACATTAACTACAACAAAAAGTATGATAAATAAGGTCACATATCTTTACACTAAAGTAATTGTTCTGATGTTATTACTAGATTCCTCCATGGCCATATACTGTAACTATCTTGGTAAAAAATATTTTATTTGCATGAGAGCAGAAAGGTTTCTTTCATCCATGAAGCTGGACCATATGTGTAAAAAATAAGCGACAGAGAAACCATCCATTGTCTTAGTTTTCTATGTGGACTACCTCAAGTTCTGCCTTTTTGCATCTTGCATCCCCTTTAGATATTCCCTTCTTTATTGTATATCTTACAAAGTATTGAAGATGGCTTGAAACGAGACCACAGACCCTCAACTTATTGGGAACATTTTTTAGTGGGGCAATAAATAAACTGAGAAGTCAGGGTTTTTTGTCATCTGGTTGAAAACAAAGTTTACGTCTTTTTACAGCAAAAAGGTCGCCAACCTCTGGCCATAAGAAATATTTCAAGCTTAAGTTTTTAAATTTGAAACCAAGAAGCTACAAAATGTATGTAGTGTATTATGTATTAAAGCTCCTGTGAGAACTTTTTAACTGGTTGTGAAACTGTCTGAAATTAATACTGACACCTCTATATGACTTACAAAAGTAAGCAAGATTATCAATGAGAAGATTGATTTATAATATTTTGTTAATTTTAATGCCTGAAACTGCTGGCGTGGTGTAGGAGTCAGACAAACAGCATGCTGAAGAACCAGCCCTTTTTTTGAAAATTTTCCACCCCAAATATTTATTGTGATTTCCATTTTACAAATTTAAAATGAGTAAGGGTGAGATATTTTTGTCAGGAAATACTACTTACAGTACACAAGAGAGGAAAAGAGAGAAATCTGCCCACTTTGACCACAAGGGGCAGCAACATCAACACAACGCCAAAGCGCCTCAAAGGAGCTTTAAGATAAAAGATGATTGGGGACTAAAATAAAAAAGCAATGTTCCTTACTGTACATTCAATACATCAATATTCATTCATATTTGGTTTCAGTTGTAGAAATTTGGTGGTTGTCATATCTGGCTACCATCGAGTTTATCTTCAGATAAAGAGGAGCATCCTTTTTGTAGATTTTTGTAGCCTTTTTTAATAAATCTAAAATTAGTGCAAAAGTTTTCATGATGGTTTATGGAATCTTTTAGGATTCTGGAAAAACCTTAGGAACAGTGGGAAAAAAAGAAGTTTTATCACTGTCTTTTGTGTTTGACTTTCTCACTTTCAAATCTGATGAAATCTAAGACTTGATAGGGCTGGGCGATATGGCCTTAAAATAAAATCTCTGATATTTTCAGACCTTGACTTCCTTGACAGAACTTGACTTCCAATTTGAATGATAGACATATGTCAAAGAAATGACTGAAAACAAGTTTTGCTTTTATTTTATAAAAACAATTCAACAAAATCAAACGGAATTTCCCTTCAAAGATTATTTTAGTATTGCCCAGTCCTAGTTTGACAAATATAGTTTAGAATTATCATCTTAAAGTGGTAAGGATGGTTAGCCCAAAGCATTCTTGTGCACGAGCCAAACCTGATAGTGTGCTAAACCTCGTCAGTCAAATATTAAGGTTTTACAAACTGTGGCCTGTTTTGCCGTTGGTTATTTTTTTTGAAAATATTTCTTGTATATTTTTCCTCTCTCATTGCGGTCTTCTTTCATCTCTCTCTCTCTCTCTCTCCAGACCCTCGTCAAATTGAATCCCAAACTTCAGCCGATGCTTGACATGATCCAAGCTAACAGGGCCAATTGGGAGGAACTCAACAAGAAGAGACAACATGGCCAGAGCGCATCTGCACCGCCGAGCCCCTGCAGTGGTGACAGCACAGATTCAAGCGGCTGCACGCCGTGTTGTAGCAGTGATGCTAATAGCAAACCATCAGTTGGCTAGCTTCTGATGCAATCTGCAAGCTGATCTCATTAGCTTATTTATCTACAGGCCTGCAACAGAGGCCACACGGTGCATGCAGAGGCACTTGGGCTCTGCTCCTCTTTGCTTTTGCTTCGAGAGCTGAGCTTTAGACTTGAGTGTTGTCGAGGTTTTCCTGCTTCCTTCAGTCTTCCCATGCTGAAGACTGACAGAGCTGGGTTAGGCAAACTTGGCGGAGCAGTGACACATCAGCTGATGACACTATGTCAGAAAGGAAACTCAAACCACTGTGTCAACAAGTCAACCAGTGAGCTAACACAAACTGTTCTGGGCATTGCACACATTTTCAGCACAAAGGCATGGAGTATATTGGAGAGGAATGTTTGTCTCTTTTGTGGTCTGTTTTTGCTCTGGTACCTCCTTGTTGCCTGCATTTTGTCCTGGGTAACAGAAATATTTTTTGTAAATCTGTACAAAGCTTTTGAGTTATTTCAAAGTGCTGTTTGAAAACTATGTGAGCTCTGACGTGTTCTGTGGCTGTACAGTTTCTGAAGGATCAAGAGGTGCAGGAACATCAGGACCTGTGACAGTGCTTGTGATGCAAATTGAGTGCTCCTTTCCCTCCCTTCCTGTGCCTTGTTTCGAGATCCTGATGAAAAATGCATGAACACCTCACCAAGATTCTTAGGAAGTATAAATCCATGTTGAACCATGACATATTTTTGCCATATTTGTTAAACTAATGACTGCAGTTAGGTCTTGACCCCATGAAAGACACAAAGCATTATCATTAAATACTGAAAGAAATCTATTTTGCCCAATTTTATAAATGCAGGTTCTCACTGCTCACACGCACGCACACACACACACACACACACACACACACACACACACACAATGTGCCTTGATGAAGTAATTCTGATACCACATCATTTCTAAGCCTCACATAAACTCCTCACTAAACTACATTTCAAAAAGAAAAGTTTGACGTTTAAAGAAATACAATGTACTTGCTTTCTGGTCAAAGTGAGTTCATTTTTGTACGTTATCTTTCTATTGTATAAAGTAAGCTAACAGTTAGCCTAGCTCATCCCAGGGAGAAACAGCTAGCCAGACTATTAATAAAGGAACCTGATTAGCTCACCCTTTCCACCTGTTTCTAGTCTTTTGTGAAGCTAAAATGGAGTTTCATTAAAGGACAGCTACCAAGACGAACTGAATAATTCTTATGGAAGAAAAAGTACACAAAACTCTTTCCTAAAATGTCAGACTTTTATTTTAGACGTAGCCTGGGGCTTTTCTCAAAGCTCACAAATGCCACGCTAACAGCTTTGAAAATCTCCAAAAACAAGACAGAAACCCTCAAACTTGTTCTACTGAAGTGCCCATGTTGTCACATGCTGTTATTCTGTTATTATTCTAGAAGTATTATTTGATTGGGTGGGGTATGCCTTGAGTTGTGTTGAAGCTTTGTTCAGTTTAAAATGTGACTGCACATTGTGTGGCATGGTGTGCTCCGCTTTAGTTTCAGAGCTGAATTGAAGTCGACCAGAGACATTATGAATTGTGCATGTTTATGCAGTATTAGATCCAAACACTTGCTAAGGATGTAGCAAACATGTGGGCCAACAAATACCTCATATTTTTGAACTTCCTCAGTAAACACGTGACGTCGTCATCTGAAATGCATGATTTAAATTCTATTGCATCATGTTAGGTAAATTATGAATATCGCTGTTCTATTTTTCTATTTGGTCTCCAACTTCTACTCGTCTTTTTTGCTATGTAACATGCTCCTTGTAGGCTACTTCTTCCCTCTTCCATGATGGACTCTTACATTTATTTATGGCAGGCTAAACTGAAGGAAAGCTACGGCATGAAAAGGCTAATGTGCGATATTTCTGTTCCGAGTTTGAATAAAATATGCTGCTATCTGTCTTCTGGTTTGTTCTGATACTTAAAGGTACATTTACTTAAGCACTGTCAGTCTTGTTCTTTATTCTAGGACTTATTACGTATACGTATACACTATCATACAGAGGGCAACCCGTTTTATAGTGGATAATATTATTTATTCATGCCGAGATATTGTCATGTGAAGTCGTTTCCACATTGTTTCTCGGTGCAGTGCTGACCTCATGTGGACAAATGTAGAATTACACATGAAATGTATCTGGAGGAAATGTAGCAGGTGTTTGCACATTTTATTGAGAAACATTTGAAGCCATTTAAAGAAATATGGATATGGTCAGGTTAGAAAGATGACATAATGAAAATAGGAATTAAATGTAAGCATATAAATCTGTAACCAATACTCTACAACAATTGATGAGGATTAGTGTTAAAGCCTAAAAGTCTTCTTGTCATATTTCTATCTGATGTATTTTATTCATAATCCTCTGTATTAAACTGTGAGGAGTGTCATATCTGCAGTGCATTTCAGCATCCAAGGCTGAGCTGTGCTGCTGCTGATAGGTGGCGGTGACGTCAGCAGGCAGTGTGTAGGCAGCTGTGTGGGTGAACATGACTCCCAAATGAGCCTGTGTGTAGCAAAAAGAAAGAAAATCCTTCCTGTCAGGAAGCAAAACACCAACTCAGTTAACATCATCTGTGCTGGATCACCTTGAGCTCATTGTGGTCACAGGTAAGAGGAAAACAAAAGGCTGCTCCTGCCGACCCCCCGAGCTGTGTCTGACAACATAAATAAAAGGCTGCGAGGAAGGAGCGGAATTGGAAATGATGTATGAGAGAGCTCAGGAGGTTTCTGCTCTCTGAACAAGGAAATCAACAACTGGGATGTTTTAGTTCAATTTATTGCACAAACAGCATTGACAAAATGTACTTGATGTTACTATGTTGTTAAGAGAAGTGGAAAATAACAAAAAAGGGAACATCATAACATAAGGAACTTCTTTAGACACGGGAGTAAAATGTCAGATGATGGGTCCCTAAATAAGTCATTTTTGATTTTGGGGGAATTGATTAATTAGAATGACATGATGGTCCCAAAAAGCTTGGATCAAAAGAGGGGAAATTCCTAAGCACAACCGCTCTCTTAAAGCTTCACTTAGCCTCAAAAAACAGTAGAACGATGACAAATGATACAAGTCTGGTATCAAATTTGAGTACAATACAGTATCTTCTTCAAAAACACCTCTATTCAGTACAAATGCACAAAAAAGAAGCCTTTCCAGCAGGGGTTTCTGGGAAATCTAACCATGTGGAGCAGAAATAAGTCAATACAGTGTCCTGAAAGTCTGATGTTCAACAGAAAGTGTAGCACATGTAACAGTCACAAAAGGCTAACTTTTACATTTCTTACATCGCTCACGAGGGTTTGCATATAATAAAATACATTTCAGATGAAGTTACAAAATGAGTGCACACAGTCAAATGTGTTTGCATGATCTGATGTGTTGTGAGTCTTTGGTACAATATGAGCACCGGGATCCAGAGGCCTTAAACTGCAGCCATGAATAAAGAACAGTTGTGACAAAAAACAGAAAAAGAAAACGCAACATTTTTTCCTACTTTGCTTTCTTAGTAACAAACAATGCAAGGTAAGTAGAAAAACTCTACACACACTGATCTCTCTGTGTAATCACACCGGTGTCTTGTTAAAATCTGGTGGGGTGGAGGGAAGCTTTAGTCGTTCAAAAAGAGTCTCTTATGGCAAAAGGTCAGTACAAAAAAGGTTAAGAGGGCAAGAAAATGAAAGACACAGAGAAGCTCATGTCTGGGTTCATTTTGCTCTACAAAGTGAGTCGAAGGAGAAGGGGAAGGCAGACAGAAGCTTTAGAAAGGCACAAAGCGCATTCACCTCTCACCGCTAAAGAAGTGCGACACACACGCGCACACACACGAGAGGAAAGTAAAAACAAACTGACTAATTTGTTGACAAGGATATCAAGGAAAAGTTTCAATGTAATGTAAATGTGAGAAAATCAAAAAGTTAAATTGCATTGTGGCTGTAGCTCCAAACAAGCTGCGGTCATGAGCTCGAAGGAGCCTCACTGTGAATGATTGTTACAGCATGTGCAATATAATGTCAAAGAAAAAATGGTTTGGGTGAATCGATAAATGGCACCGAGTGACACTTTATGATGAAAAAAGACAACATTTTAAATTCACATTTTAGTATCTATTAACCCAAAATGCACACAATGCTTTTAGAAAAGGTGAGATAAAGGTGGAGTTAGAGGAGGTTCCTGTTGCCGAAAATGTTTTGGGGGTCCACATAGTCCTTCACGGACTTGAGCATTCCCATGCCGACGCTGGAGACGGTGTCTCTCATCCACTCCTTCCGAAGTTTGCCCACTGAATGACAGAGGAGAGAAAAATAAATAAGTCAAGACGAAGGAAGAGGACCGAGGGGGGAGAAACGGAGGAATCGGCACGGCTGATTGCTCAGCAGGCTGCTGGGAGCCAATCAATCTTGTGAGAGTGAGTGAATAAACAGAGGGTGATAAATGCTTTTATTCAGAGAGGAGAAATGTTTTGCATGGCATGATTTATGGAGCTCAGCAGACTATCAAACTCATTAGGCTCTGTGTGTTCCCAGAGGAGGGGCCGGCTGGCGGCTGTAGCGCTCCGTACCCGGCTCCCTCTGCTCTTTGAGCCACTGCTCCCCTCCCTCTCTCCCTCCAGAGTCACCGGAGCGGCGTTTTTTTTTTTTTTCCTGTGTTTTGTGTCTTATTGTGCACACGAGTGCACTCCTCCAGCTGACCCACAAGGCTGCAGGGTGCCAGCCTGTCCCCCCAACCAAGATCTGTGCCCCCCGACACCGGCCTGATCACCGACAGGGTGCCAAAGCAAACCATGGAGCGACACACAATGGTTCTCTGTCAGTAGGACTTTGGCTCCAAGATGCTCCTCCTCCTCCTCCTCCAGATCCTCAACCTGAGGAGCGAGAGGGACTGTGGCATCAAGCCTAGCGAGGAGGGGGGGGGCTATTGCTTTACCAGCTGTCCCGTCCGACATACTCCAAGGCGTCTGTAGCCGACAGGTTCTTAGTGGAGAGTCTAGAGCCAGCGAGAGGTCTGGAGACTGTGAAGGACTGAGGAAACCACAAGGATGAGCTGGACTCATGTTTCAGAACCTCAATGTAAAATAATAAGATGGAATCTTTTACACCAAATGTTAACAGCCGCAATCTTTACACTAAGGCTCATCTCAGAATTTTTACGTAATCTAGATCACAACAGTTTAGCGGATAATTTTTTTTCCATTTATTAAAGTCTAGACAGTAAAGATGGACAAATAAATGTTGAGTGTTCAGTGAATAAAAACCTAACAGAAATATAGACTGAGTTAAGAGGTACAATATCAGGTGGACAGTGGTATTAGCTTGTTTTTAATCTCAAATTGTAATTTTTTTTGTTGTTGATAAAATAACCTGGATCATAGTTTTATTATTTTTTTATTTACAGCTACTTACTTTTGAAGGGATTTAAAAAAATGTCTTTCCTAAAGGGTGAATCCTTCACTAGGTATCACAGTCCAAATGATTAGCCTTTAAAAATCCAAAAATAATCAATCAACACTCAACTGAGAGAAAAAAAAATCCAAAAAGCTGGTGAGGTTTCTTAAATGAGGGATTTGCTGCTTTGCTCTTGTTTTGATCTTTGAAATGGAATGGTTCAGTGATGTGAATTTTTTTCATTTCAAAAATGTCTTTAACAGAAAAATAAATTGATCATTAAAATAATGAGTAATAGTTGCAACCTGTATGTGATGTTGCATTCTAAAGCATGCATCAACAGAAGGAGTTTTCAGTCTAAATGTGGGAACCAGTTATAAGTCACTTATTAAATGAAGCAAAGACCTTCTTATCAAAGAACTTAAAGTCAGCTAAACTAAGAATGAAACAAGAACTGTTAAAGAAAACACAATGGCTGACACAAGAAGTCAGTGTGAGGTGATAAAACGTGTCAGAGTGAGTTAAATGTTAACTTTTGGAGGTCATGTACACTTTGAGGAAACACTCCATATCTATCCTCCTAAAGTTTAAAAAGATAAACCTGAGAACGGAGCAGCTCAGAACAGATGTTGCTCGCTGAGTGAAAAGCCGACCTGTAACCACACGAGATTAGAGACAGAGGCCTGAAAACACAAAGGTGTATGCTGGGAGTTTTCACACGCCTCTCCTGCATCGCTTGCAAAGGGGGCTTGGATGCTAATAGGGCATGTTGGGAAGGCAGCGTGTTGCCGTGTTATCAGCCAGGAAACCCAGATGGGGGATCTGCAAAGAGGCTGGTGAGGCCCCGTCTCCTGACAGAACAGGGCAGACAAGCGGGGTCATAGGGGACTCCTGATAGCACACACACACCTCCAGATGGTGACAGAGGGACCAATCAGCTGCTGCCCAATAACTAAGAGAGTACCCTGCTCCCTTCAACCTCCTCCTCCTCTGCAGGCCTCCCTCCTCGTCACACCTCCGTCCCTCCCTCCTCTCAGGAAATGGAGAGAAAACAGAAGGTGCTGGGACTGCATCATTGCCTCCATCACTGTGATAATTTACACATCTATCTTGTCATATGCTCTCTTTTTCGCTTGCTATTGCAATCAATCTCAACAGACTCGCTCTGCGCAGCTGAGACATGCAAAGAAGTGCAGGTAGTTATTTCAGCTATGACAGATTTTTTTTTCTAGAAAACAGCATCTTTTTTTTTTTTTCCTGAGTGGGGAGGCTCTGGGGTGAAACACAAGTTGGGAACTTCACCACATCAGGTCATTTTTTTCTATCTCCAAAGGGTACGAGTTTGTGTGGTGTAATGATTGGTAGTTAGCTAATCTTGAGCTGTGTGAGGCCACAAAGTTTGTGTGTGAAAATGCTGGACAGACTGGGTTCCCCTCACACAACAGAGACAATAGAGACCAGGCCGAGTCTCAACGCCTTGACATGCAGCTCCCCGCTCTCCTTGGTTCTTCTCTGACAAATGGGGGGTCAGCACATGAAAGACGCAGTGAGCCAGCGGCCCCTGTGTTCATGTGATATGGCTGAGTATTGGCTGAACACTGGTGCAGGGCTGATAGATGGACGACTCTGTGGGTGATGATGCTCAACAACTCTTCACCACTCTTTGACCTAGTTGAAGAGGACATTTCTTCTGAAGGTCTGACTTCAAGAACCACTGGATAATCAACAAATATCTACATGTTTACCCTTAAAAAGTGATCAATCTGACTTCTTTTACTGTCAAAATGACCTAAATTTCTCCATGATAGCGTTAGCTTGAGTATTACATCTCAAACACAAACAGGTAGCCACCTCTACACGCCCAGATTCCCTTACCTACGCCCACGCGGCAACAACACTGACCCGCTGTAAACACAAGGCCACAAAAATGTATATTTCCCTCTGCCACCCTCCCACCTCCAATCCTTGACTACATCTGTTTTGTTTGATGCACAAAACCCAGAGAAACTAGCTCCATTTGTCAAGCGCTGATTGTGGGCAGACAAACCAGCCTGTCTGCGCCCAGATAGCAGAGCCTCGCTGTTATTAATCACAATTACAGAGTGGGCCTCGCACGCCGTGGCTGCATCAATATCCCCTCATCCCCTCCCCTCTGTCACCTCCCCATGCTGCTCGAGGTGGCCCGGGCCACCGTTTGGAGGTCAGCGTACAGCCTCCGATAACGGCGGCATCATTTACCCCGGCCTCCACACGCCTCCTTTTTATTAGCAATCTTTTAATTTTGAAGCCGTCCCCCGCCTTCAGGAAAAATTGTGATTTAATATCGCAGCTGATTCACTGCATACTGTTTTTGACAGGAGTGATGAATAGCCTGAAGTGATGTATGAAAACAGCGAGGCGGATGGCAATATAGATAAGGCAGCCATTTCGGTTAGCCCTGATGGGGCCCACAGAGTTGTTACCCCCCTTCCCCCCCTCTGCTCACGTTTCATTTGGTCACTGCTGAAATGAACAAACAGTCGAGTCAGAGCGATTCATCTGAGCAGGGGAACAGATTCTTGGACATGTGAAGGAAGCAATGAAACATTTTCTGACCACATGAACATTTGTCGTCCGACTGGTCGCCTCGCTCGCTGGCATGGAAGAGCATTGTGGGAAATCTGTCACTCTATGAAACATTTTTCAGGTGACAATGTTGCAATTCAATGTTCTACTCATGAAATTAACAGAACATTTTCAGCTGTAGTACCTCCATGGTGATGTGACAAACTCCCTCCGTTGGCAAGAATCTCTTCTCTGGCTGCATGCTGGGAGGAAAAGAAAAAAACTCAATAATATTCTGACAATGACTCTGCTTTGTTTGATTTAACATAAGATGTAGTTAACAGGGGTGGAACAAAATATATAGATACAGCAACATATATCATTATCCTGACTCTATGATAAAAATGATTAAATAACTGGTGCTAAATATCGACATTTCAATAAAAATACATTTAGATACCAAACACATTTCCCCCCGCCACAGCATCATGACTCTACACTGACATGAACGTGAAAAGAAGTGGATTGGGTGATGGAGAAGTTGACAATGCAATAAAAGAAGAAGAAGACTGCGGGATGATACTGAACAGCAGTGAAAGAAGTCAAAGATTGGAACGTGATTCGAGGTGAAACTGACACCGAAAACAAGTGAATACATCAAATAACATTTCAAAATCACTTTCCCTTTTAATCCTTTGACTTCCACACTAAGAAATCCATTTGCAAAAAAATATTTGTTGTAAAATTGTGTTCCTGTCTCTTCATTAAGCAACATTTCAGGTTATAGTTTTCAGATCACCCAATCAGGAAGCAGATATGCAGGTATGCCTGTTTAGGGTTACTTTGGGCATGAATGGATTTCTTTCATTTCTGCAACAAAATGTTGATTTTTTTCATATATAAACATCACAGAGATTAGAACTTGTTAAAATAATCTATAATTTATTTAACATACTGAATGAGTGGCAATGGTTAGAAAAGGTAAACAAAATAAGAAATTAGTGACTTGAGCCAGGCCGTTTGCGTAGACTGGTAACTCAACCGAGCGGTCAACCATGATTTCTGAGGAATCGTAGATATATATTTTATTGTCAAATTTATTTCCTTCAACTAAAATATGATTGTTAGAGGGTCTATAAATGATATGTGAAAAGATTTGTTCTTTTTACCCGGACGTTTGCTCTTATTCTGTGAGGTTTCTGAGGAGCTGTTCAGCGCAGAGTCAATCCCGGTATTTTCCACAGTTTTAAGACAATGATAATTATGTACAGCAGCGCCACCAATTGGACATAATCAGAGTTACATACACTATTCACTGAGGTGAATGAGGATTAACAGCCAAAGATAGGTTTTCAGAGTTTTAAATACAGCAATATGGCGGCGGAAAAAAATGTCAACCGCATGGTTACAATGCAAGTCAAAGGGGGAACATTTTTTATTCTTCAGTTAATCAGATATCGTGATCTAACATTATATTATTGTCTTGCAATATATCGATTGTTGCAGACTGGCTGTATCATGATATTATTGTTACCATGCTCCTGTATTGTGGGTCATATCATACTGTGTCATATTATATCATATATATTGTGAGTTACCCTGAGATTCCCACCTCTAGTAGTTATAATGTAAAGACAGGACGGTGCATGAAAGCTAAGAAATGGGTCGTACCTCCACTTGTTCATACACGTGCACTGGTTCACTGAGTCCTCTGTAGTTAAAGGCGAAGTAAAAGTAGACGCAGGCACCGGCGTCGTACGTCTGAGTCACCCTGTGAGACAAACAGGAAGAACGTTAGAACAACATCTTAATGTTTCTACATGTGCTCTGAATATTGACTGTAATTATCGAGGAAACAGTCTTTAGTCAGGATGTTTTATTTTGGTACAGTCGATGCATTCCCCTCAGTAATAAGAAGACAAAGTAAAGTGGGAGGTTTGTCTTCTTCTCAGTAAACCCTGACCTCAAATCCACTCGTGCTTTGTAGAAGCAGGCGGAGCACTGAAACACTCTTGGCTTTTATAACATCATTGTCAGACATCAGATGCTTTTACTGAATCATCTGAGCCACATGTGTACTGCAGTAAACGGGATGACTCAACTTTAATGTGGAGCAGAGAGTGTGTCCATTTGTTCTCAGACACAGAACAGTTTAAGTATACTGATAATAAAGATGCTGTTATAGATTTTTTTTTTAAAGATTCTCTAGTTTGCATGTTTACTATGTGGCCTCGTTCCCTTTAGAGGAGCGGACTTGCAGAGCCCCGGTTAATTTGACATGGCCCATCACCTGGCACGCTGACTCCTCTAAAGGTTAAATGGACAAATCAATCATGTGACAGACTGTGGCCGGGAAATGAATGGCTGGAGCATAATCAGGCTGAAGCCTAATCTGTCGGCAAACGGAGAGCAGGAGCCTGGTGCAACTCAACGGGCTCGCCGCCTGCTCCTTAGATTGTCTGTCTGTGTGACTGGCCTTTGCTAGACTAACAGGGGGTCAGGTTAGGACTGGGTTTGCAACCTTTCTTTGGTTTTTAGGCAAAATGTTGAGTATTTGTGGATTTTTTAATTTTTTTTGCAGCGGCCATGGGCTATAAATAAATCTTTTGGAATATATAAATATTTATTTTTTTTACTTGGGGTTGGCAGGAACCCTGGCAGGTTGAGTAAAAGTCTGAATGAAAGATTTGCCCTCTTGCATTGACACATGCAGCTTCACCTGAAATTTTCGGTATATTTTCAGGAGTTTTCTGTTTGTGTGAAAACAGCATCAAACATCAGCTAACTGTCTATGAGCAGAAAGCCACAGTTTAAAACAACTCAAAAAGACTCTTTGTTTTTGAGAAAACCTATAATAATGGGAGCCTCATCATTTTAATATGTGTGTCCTACTGTTAAGTGATAAATGTTTTCACTTTAGTGGGGTGGTAGGATGAAATGGAGTGACTCTTTTTGGGATATCAAGGCCTGATATCAAGTGGAAAAGGTTCTTTTGAAAACATATATTGAAAGGATCACTTGCATACCTGCATGTGGATAACGGTGGAAACTGTACTCCTCTGTCTTTACACTCTCGAGTAATGCGTGCCTTCACATTCCGGCAAATGTCTAACACCCTGGAGAAAAAATGAGAGAATTTTGGAGAATTTTTTAAAAATTAAACATGAAACAGATTTACAAAATGATTCTGAAACTTCATGGCAATACTCCTAACTGTGATCTTTGTGTATATTTAAAAAGTACAACAGTATGTACATGGAAGTAATACAAAATGCAAAATTAATCAAAGACAGAAAAAGACCATGAAGGAGGAGGAGGAGGAGACTGGCTAATATGACGACCACAGTGGGAGAGGTTCCCACTGCTGTGGAAATGGCCGCCAGTCCTGAGCATGTGCAGCCATGTGTGGAGGGGGGAGGATGGCGAGGAGGGCAGGTAATGAGCCAGGCACATATGCTTGCCTCAGTGCCTGATCTCTTGGTCTCTCCCGACAGGCATGTTACACAACACAGAGCTGTGTGTGTCTGTGTGTGTTTGTTTGTGTGTGTGCGTGTTTCTGTGTGTGTTAGTGTTTGTGTGAGGGCATGTAGCTGTGTGAAAATGATAAACCCATGTAGAAAATGCACAAGACACTATATGAGGATGTGAGAAGAGTATGTTCACTTTTAGCCACACACAGATACAGGTCTCGCATACTATGTTGGTGTGTCATTAATGTTTTTTTTTGTAAGGAGAGGAGGAAAAGCTTCCACCAACGCAGAGCAGGATAATGGGGGGGCATGAAGGTGAATATCAAAGACAGAGCTGAAAAGAGGGAAAGAGGAGCAGGAGGGAGACATAGGACTCTCTGAGGACTGACTGTGTGGGAGGAGAGAAGTGTGGGAAGAGAAATGTTTACAGCCATTTAAATCAAACAGAGAAAGAAGCCTACAGCTTATAGCCGTGCATTTACCTGTCCCAAGGCACAGAGGTTTCAAAGGACTCCCCGATCACATAGTAGTCCATCCCCAAATCCTGTGTAGGTTACAACATCAGTATTAGTGAAAAAAAACCCGAATTCTATTCATTTAAATGCAAACAAGAAACCGGGATACTTGGAGATATTAATGTAATCTAACGTAACATTTACATGCACAGTGGTTCCTGTAAAATCCAAAGAAAGTGTAAAGCTGTAATCATTAGATTGTTTCTACCTGTCCTCAAAATAGAAGAAGGTGCAACGGATCGACGACACATTGTGTTGTGATAGCTCTTTTTTCCCCCTAAAAGCATGCATCTTCATTTTAAGCTAGTTAAGTCTTTTGAAAAAATATTTCATTTTTTTTTTTTTTTTTTGGGGGGGGGGGCAATTTTTGCTTTTAATGGGTAGGACAGCTGAAGAGAGACAGGACATGTTGGAGGGAGCGGGGATGACAATTCAGCAAAGTGCCAAGGCTGGATTCGAACCCGGGCGGTTGCAGCAAGGACTACAGTCTCTCGACATCTGACGTGCGACATAACCGCAAGCCCATCAGGCGCCTTGTTAAGACATTTTCAAACTTAGTAGCTCTAATGAGTAAGTGTGGAAGGAACTTTCAAACATTAATACAATAGAAATGTTTTAAGAGATCTTTGTATCTCTGTCCTCTTCAAAAAGTCCACAGAACTGTTTGGTCCAAAAACACCTGTATACTGTTATGTGCTAACGTTTACAGTGGGATTTTAAAAATGGTGGTTAGTATAACTGGATTGGCTCCAAGTCTGCAGTTTTGTCATGGACTTGAATTTATCAAAAAAAAAAAAAGCCATATTCATGTCTAACATATCAGCTTTCTATCAGCAGGAGACAATTATCTTGAGGAATCAGGTGTCTCTAATTCTCTGCCTCATTAACAGGAAGGATGTTTTTCATATCCATGTTTAAGAAATCATATTATAAGAGTGACAGTCCTGCAGTAACACTACATAGAGCGCACTTGAAAAAGCTTATCTGGTAGTGGCTGGTCTATTTTGCATTCATAGGTCATAAAGCAGATCAAATCCTCACCAGTTAAAAACTCCTCCCAGTAGGATTCATTGTGTTTAAACTCCCTGCAAGTTTATGTGTCTGTATGATCAAAGGCTCTCTGACCGGACTGACCCAAGACAACTCTCCATTTTCATTTTCACTGCAGCCGCTGTGCCCTCCTCCTGATGAAGATACCTCTGTGTTTTACACCCTGACACAAACTGTGACCAGATCAAATCAGAGACCTCCTAGGGTCACATTCTACAACGCTCACTCTCGTCTCTGCTGTCAGACTGAATCCTCCCCGCCTGCCCCACCTGCCCATCAGCTCAGGCAGAAAAAAAAGCCAGAGGAGGAGTGACCCACCCGGAGGTAAGCGATGACGAAGGTCAACATGTAGCCCCTCTGTCCATTGTCCTCTCCAGCTGCCAGGCCCCTGGAAGCAGATAACAGGGTTAATATTTAACAGCTCTTTTCTTTTAGCTTTGTTGCTCAGGCCGTGGTGCTCACAACAGCAGCCTGGGAGCCTGTCAATCCAACAATGTACAGATCAATGAAGCCATGCTCCGTGCATTGCCACAGGTCAGCCACACATCCATCACCTGCAGTGGGTAATCAAATTTTCATCCAGCACCCAAACTAATCAGGCCAAGCTCATTACAAAATCACTATATGGATTTTTTCACCCTTCTCCCTGTTTCACTACACTGCAAGAAAATATTCCTCACAGAACCGATCCAATCCATCACCGCACTTGATCTGATGGATGATGGCGATTTATTAGAAATAATGCAATAAAGCAGAGGATGCTGCATGTAACTGACAACTTTCTCATGATTTAATTGCTGGCTATTACCAGGGCTGTGCTCCAGATACCTGCTGGTCTGGGCACAGGGCCAAACACCAACAACAAATAGAACCAATAGGAACTGCTCAGTGTAATATTGTGTTGCAATGAGCTTTCTCTAGCAACTATGATACATTTAAAGATGGTCTGGGACTCATTCATATAAACTTTTATTTAAATTCATGACATATCCTGTCGGAAAAATTTCCTCAGCGATTGTCAGTTTCATTTTTATTTGAATTCACAGAATGTATGAGCTTCACAGTTTTGCTCTTTTCTCACAAACAAATAAAACATTGACAGATTTGATTCATAACCAACAGTATTTGATAAGTCTTCCTGTTTTGTCTTTTATCTCCAGGTATCCTGCAAGCCTTTTTGTATTGTTGTTTTTTTGCAGTCAAATGTTGATATTCCAAGAATGTACAATAAATTAAAGGCCTGACTTAATAAGAACATATCATAAAAGTTCTGGTGATAACAAATAAAGGATGAAAAAAGAAGAGAAGACAATTAAAACAAGCCTAAACCTAATTTAGTGAAGGAGTCCCTTTAAGTTGTTAAAGAAATAATGCAGAATGATTGAGTTGCACATTTTTTAAATGAATCACCCTAACCCTTCCTTTCAAAATAATTTATTTCTCAAGATAAAATCACCAACAAAGAATAATTCTTGATCACAATGACCCATCCTGCAGCACAAAGTTGAATTAACGATGAAAATAACTCTTCTGAAAAGTATTGGAGGTTTAGAAAGTGGCTCAGGATAGAGAGAGCATCCCTCTCGAGCTGACAGGTAACTGATTCCCAGCAAACTCCTCATTGATCCGTTTAGTGATCAATCACACGAGCACTGTGTCCTCTGGCCCTGAGGGGAGCTGTGCCCTACTCTCACCACCCACACCACACCTACTCTAACATAAAGGCCGGCCTGACAGGAGGACATCCACAGGTGATCCATCAATCCACACAGAGACAAAGTACTGAGCAGAAGGCCAAGTCTGAAGTGTGGAAGTGTGCTCCTCCATCTTTGTTTTTCACACCTACTACATAACAGCTGGTTAAATAAAGTGACATCATAGCCTGGACATCACATCACATTTAGAGTCGCAGCTAATGGTCATTTGTCATTTTTATGCTCCACTTGGCCCTGGATGTGCAGCTGGTCCTGTGGCATCTCGTCTTGAGCGACTTACTCACCCGAATTTAGCAGCGATGTCATAAACCTGCTTCTCGTGCTGCAGGACCTTCTCACGGTTTCCCTCAAACAGCAGGGTGGCCACACACAAGCGGTCCTGGTCGAACCCTTTGAACTGGTGATTAAAGAATTAGTTTTATATTTCTCATAGGAAACATTCAGGAGAATATCAAATAATGTTCTTCTCTTTTTAATATTCCTTTACTTTGGTGATATACAGCTTCTTCAATCCGTCCAGAAAAGATGTGAAAATGGAGGATACTTGAGGCTTGAGGGCATGACCTGTGAGAATATCAGATAAGAGTCAGCTGCACCCATTCACAAAGACGTGAACCTGAAAAACAGATCATGTTTGTTCACACATTAGTCATAGCCCTGCGTTCTGCTCGCATCCTTTAGCGTTCTGAGAGGGTGCAGCAGTCAGATTTATTTGCCGTTTCAAACAAAAGCAGGAAAAATAAATGGTAACATTTGAATAACTTTTACAACTGGCCAGTGGCTGCTAGCGACAGCGACTATAAATCAGAGGGTTTCCGAAGGGAAGTGGGGCTGACGCAGTGATATCCGTCTTCCTCACACACACTTTTTGATTTATTCCTGATCGGACGCACAAAAAGCGCCCGTGGACAAGCGAAAACGAGGGGCTGGGGCCAATGGGATGGTTATCAATCACAGCGGGGGAAGTCACGGGTGATGTCGCAGAGACTTAACAGTTCATTTATTTCCCCCCATGCTCGAGTCTCTTCATCACTTAGTGTCCTAATTGTTTCCATTCCAAAATTTGATTGCAGGTCTTTAGGTCTCTCGCAGCCATCATACTTGTTAATTAAATACTCAACATCCACAGAGAGAAAATTACACCTACACTGTGCATAATCCTAATTCTTTGTTTCTTTGCACTCAAATACATGCTGCCACATTCTCATTTTTCATCTCATGCATCAGGACAGGCGGTGCTAAATCGTTCTTGTAGTCTCAATCTGAGACAGACCTGTGAATACATCAGCTCTCCTTACTTACAGCCAACATGATTAAAAGTGAGGACAAGCCACTAATAAGCCCAAGAAGGTATCATGGAGCCATGAGTTTCAGTTATTAGCGGAAACCTGGTCGCTTCATCTTCCCTCCTTAATGCTAAGAAGTGCCTACTCTGTGAAAAGTGGAAATATAGGGGAGATAATGAGATCCCCGGGGACTGGAGAACTTTACACAGATCTCTGGCAATGCCACATGCACATTCCACTCAACCTGAAGAAACAACATTATACTATTTCAATGTACCAGCTACTTCATTTTTAGCCAGGCTCATTTTTCATTTGGCTTCAATTCTTTTTGCGTGTGTGTATGTGTAGCTACTCTGCTGCAGAAATGATAATCAATGTAACAGTACTGAGGCTGAGGAACGTAAAATCATTGCATGCTGTATCATTCATTGTTCTTTTTCTCAGAGGTAAACAGCACATCGATGAACCAACATATTGATCAAATATACAGTGTGGGAAACAAAATCTAACTTTATATATTATAATAAATATTAGAACTCTTGTGCTGTGAGGTAAAACCTAAAATTGTGTTTTATTGCAAAGCTCTGTTCTTCAAGCCTGAGGTCGTACTGAGGACTGTATGAAAAAAAAAAAAACTTTAAAGAAAAGAAAACCCTGAGTCAGCCTGACGTGTACCGTGAAGTGTTCAGAGGTCCTAAAGGGAGGCTTTGCATACAACCGTTAATGGTGATATTCAATGCTTTTTTATAAGGCTGCTTTATAGTGGGAACATTTTTAAAAAAATAAAAATGACTTACCAAATTTAAATTGCTCATTATCCATGAGTCGTATGGACGCTGGGGCACACCTCTGAAAAACAAAAGTTGGTCTGTGTTAGTTTATTTGGAAAGGCTATAAAACACTAAATAATAAACAAAAGTCAAATTCTTGTAGAAAAATAAAGCTTCATAATAAGGATAAGGATTATCACCAAGTAGGATTAAATATAAAAGGAATTTTTCTTAAACCAGTGTACACAGAGCGACACTTTAGAGAACAGTAGAATTTGAATTTTTAGGATGCTTTGGATTCAAGTGCAACATATTCTGTCGTCTTAGTAGTTAAAAGTCTCAATACAAAAGTTTTACTCTGCAGCAGATGTAAATGCAGAGGATGTAAGTTGGTCTAAAGTAACATATTGAAATTTGTGCTTTTTGTTGGCAGGTCAAAAACTGGGCTTATCAAAGTGTGGACAAAATCATACTGGTCTTATACTCATATTGAGACAGAAGTATATGAAGTTACATGTGTTTATTAAGTTACCTGTTTGGCAACTTCTCTGAGACAGGCAACTCCCTGCTCAAAATTAGGGAACACAACTGAGCCGTATTTCTGATACTCAGGCATGGGTCGAATCTTCATCGTTACCTCAGTGACCACACCCAGGGTCCCTGTGGAAAATCACAGAGAAACATTCTAAGTTAAACAAAAAAAAAAAAAAAAAGGTAAAAACCAGTTCCCACAATTGATATGACCTAACCCCCTCTTAGGGCAGAACTCCAGACCGCTTTACAAGGCTCTGGTACATGTCCCCAGGGTCCTTTGGGGGACCTTTGTCTCACATTTCATCTGGTAGATCTGGTTTTCTACCACACACCAGGGGATGACTGAGAGTTATCAGGTGGAGAGTGTGAGGAAATAAAGCAGCCGGGCTCTATCAAAGCCAATGAGGCCAACAGCAGCAACACATGTACAGGAGGACCAAAACCTCACACTACTGACCTTATGAGCCGGAAAAACTGTCAAACTTTAGCTGCTGCTGCTGCAGGAGTCAGATTGCATGTTTTAAAAAAACACAAATACTCTACCGTACACACAGACACAACCTTTTACTATGCCTGAGACTTTTAACCTAAATCAAGAAAAAACAAAGGTCACTCCAGGCCAGCCTTTCCCAAACTTAAGACTGCAGCGGCCCGCTTTGAAATACAAAATTACTCTGGGGCCCGTTACAAAAAAAATGTTATGACTGGTAAATTATTGGACATGACAAAATGATATTATGGCAAGATAGACACAAAAGTTTACTGAACATTATGTCCATGAATAGTCATGACGCGCCTTAGGGTTGACTCATGGTAAATCATCATTATTGTGATATTTATTTTATTTTTTAAATTGTTGGAGGGCTTTTTGCGATCTACCTGCAGTACCCACACGTCCAAACAGGGGGCCGCGGCCCACACTTTGGGAAGCACTGCTCTAGAATATTCAATCACAGAATCATTTAGAGACAGATGTAAGCTCATTTTTAATGTGTCACTCTGTAGTCTGCCATGTGCAGGTAGTTTGTGTTAAATGTTCTTATGCACCACTCAACAGAACTTTAACGGACACAACCACCACTTAATCTGTGAACCCAGTAATATGAATGCTGTGTTTTCAGAGCATTATCTACAGACACCATTTTTTAAACTCATAAGTTTTGCTGTTGAATCATTTTGTGAGGCTTATGTTTTTCTGTACAGCACCATGACACTGTTGGCTTATTAATGTTGACCCTTCTTTTGGAATGTAACTTTCTTTTACCCGTTACTTCTACTCTTAAATATTAATGTGCATGTATAACAAATGTTTCCATTTGAACTTATCTAAGCTGTTGTGTTGTTGTTTTTTTGCCAATGTGTGTTCACTCTCCCTGTGTCTGCCTGCTGCTGAGCTATTATCAGGTAGTGCAAAACAAGTTTATTAGCATTTAAAGGACAAAACCCTGTGGTATGACATGACACTGTTTAATGTTATAATCATTTAGCTCAAATAGATTTAGTCTAAGGACTCTTGGTCAAACATGTGACTTGTAATGAGCGTGGATAACTTATATAAAACTGACAAAGGAACAACACGTATCTCTCTCTCCAGGGCTTTCATGTTCTTCATTACAGACGGTGTGCACTTATATCTCTCTCCTGAATATAGCCTGTTCCGTTAGGGGGCTCCCTCAGCCTGTTATGGCTGTTAATGAGCCCTCTAACAATGACACTACATGTGGCACGCTGCTCCCTAGTGGAAAAAACATGTGACTCCATTGGACCTGAGCAGGACACACCCCTAACTCCTGACGGCAAGCAGGGAAGCGAGGAGGAGGAGTCAGAGAACCATGGAGGCAGGGCAAGAGAGAGGGAGAGAGAGAGTGTTAGGGAGGAGCTAGAGAGGAGGGTGGGTGAGGGAGGGAAGAATAAAGGGACGTAATAAGAAAAGCAAGGTCAGAGAAATGCTCTCATGGGAAGAAAGCCATGGAATGAAATGCTGGAGAGCAGCTTAAGACATTTAAACGGTGACACTCTATGTATATATATATAAAAAGAGCTCTTTACAAGGTCTGTGTTTGGGAGAGGCACTACTTGAGGTGAAGGGTCCCTCTGCTTTCAGTATAAAATATTTCTGGGGAAAAATAGCTGTTTGGACAATGCTAACCATTGTGGGGCCAGGCGACTCTTTTACAATCATATAATTGACCAAGAACATTAAATGAACACCAGTTGGTTCCACACACCTTCATGACATCCTCTACGGTTGAGCTGAGATTAAAAGGAAAGAGGAGTATTATCATCGATTATTCCAATCACTCAGGCTGAAGCTAAGCGAGAGGAAAAAAAACACTTAGCATTCATTCCACTTCAAGGTCACAGAGATAGAGAGACCTGCTTGTTGTGGAGTGAATGAGGAGCCTGAGGTTTCAGCAGTAATTTCTGATCGAATGGATGCGTTCCATTTAGCATGCAGAGCACAGTGGAGGGTGTAAGCGTGGTGCTGTGTTGTCGCTGGTTGTTGCGGCCTGCTGTCAGGCTGGCAGGATGCAGGATGCTGTGGTGATGAGGTAGATAATTTTAATGAGACTCTGTGGTGGTTTGACCTCTTCCAGCGTCAGGCCTCCCAGTAGAACATGTTCTATCAGAGATGTGCGGTCCTGTCCTATCTATGTTCCACCACCTAAGCTGAACGGAAAGTCCAATTTCACATCCTGACACATTAGTATTATTAGTTTAATTTCATACATGGGGCTTTATAAAACATTTTCCCACAAGGAGGAATGATTGTTGTCACTTCTTTTGCTCTCAAAGATCTGCATTTTGGAGATATGGAATTCTGTTATTTTTACTTGAGTTTCCTGATATAAGAATGAACCATTGATAGCCAAATGTGTACTCCTGACCTTTTTTAAGAATCACATGTTCTCTATTATTATATTGTCATGGGGACAATGACCGATTTTTTGCTTCGATATGTCAACAATCTGTCAAACAGACCACAACGTTTTCTGATATGTCACAGCAAATAAGAACACTCAGAAAAATTTAGCCAGCTGTCCACATCCATATCAACTAAAATGTACTTTTTAATGACCTTATTAGTGTGTTTAAAATAATTTAAAAGAACACAGTGGATTAGTTGGGCATCTACTATTAAATGAATAGATTTATCTACAGATGACTCTCTGCAGCTAACTCTGAAAAATCTCTTGAAATGACATTTTTCTCCTTAACTTTTGAGTTTCAAAGCAATTGGAACCCCTTTGTATCCCGATGTATGCATGTAATGTTTATACATGTCTACATTGTTTTGTATATGAATGTGTAATATTGATGTATGATCTGTCTGATTTATTTTCTATTGTACTGACAAAAGACTTTGAACATGATGTCTCTATGATAGAATGAGTCAATGTAAGCTGCTGGGCTGGGTGGAGCTTCTTCTTGTTTATTTTTTTTGTTTGTCTCTGGGGGTTGTTTTCTGTATGAACATATATTTTGTATTTCTGTTTTTTTTTTTTTGTCATTTCCTTAAAAAAAAGAAGAAAACTTTAGTGGTTCATAAATGCAACAACTGGTACAAGAGTGCTGGTGTGAGTGGATTGCTCACTACCATCACTGCAGTGTGGCTGTTTCACACATTTCAAGATAAAGAGTCTCCCAAAACATGAAGCGGATCATGACCACTTCACAAAGGGTTAGCTTGACTGTTACAGTTGATCTGGACAGTGTAGATGCACCTTACACAGTGTCGTAACATTGAAGATTCATTAATTCTATATTTTGTAATAGTGACTTTATCTTCTAAAGCAGGTATGATTATGATCTAATATACTGCTGGTAGTCTTAGTAAATTGAAATCACTTCTAATGAGAACAAATGGAGATTTGGGCAGTGGTCCCAGCCCAGTCAGGGAGCAGATTGCTGAGCTTTGTAGGGTGAATATAAAGTTTGCATCCACAGCTGTTTAACATAGCCATGCCAAGACTCTGAACCTGCTCATTATGTAGGGGGGAACCTGGCATATGGCAGTATTCTCTGTGGGCAGTCACAAGGACAGGGCACGGCAGATGGGGTGGGGAGGACACTTGCTGGTTCCTAACTTACACCCCCCCAGTTCACTTTCACCACCAGTGCTGGTTAATGTTTAAGAGGCCCGGAGCATGAGAACCAGCCTGATGTTACCGTTTTTTCCAAGAACATTCACACTCATGTGGTTTGAGTGACACACAGCACGTGGTCATAAGAAAGGGCCACACCTTCTGAGCCCAGGATGAAGTGGTGAATGTCTGGCCCCGTGGACATGCGTGGGCCCTGACAGCTCTTCTCGATCACCCCTTGGGGAGTCACCATCTTTATGTGGATGACCTAGTAAGTCAGAAAACAGCAACATCAGAAATGCTCATTTGCAGACATTCTTTTGATTGTTGTAAACTTAATATAATTCAGATATGATGTGCCACATGCACATAACTGATACATGGGCTTTTTAAAGGAAAGGGTAAAGTCCAGAAACTCTGCTAATGATATCCTTCCTCATTACTGCGCAGGGACTGCAGAGTCCTGACTAGCAACAAACAAGAGGCATAAAGGTAAGGTGAGTGTGTGCATCTCACCAGGTCCTCAATGTTGCCATAGATGTTCTTCTTCATGCCTGATGCTCTGGTTGCTACCCAGCCCCCCAGGGAGCTGAACTCCATGGAGTCAGGCTCGTGCCCTGTACAGTAGCCGCTCTCATTAAGCTGTGACAAGAAACAAAGAGAGCACACATTTGTTGCTGCAGATAAAGTCTCTACTCTACAAAAATGTTTGGAACACAGTGATGTAAAGCCACAAGAATGTTTTAATAACAAGCAAAAAAAAAGAATGAGCAAGCAAAGGGAAAACAGATAATTGCAGCTCTGCTGCTGCATTTCACTGCACTCGTTTTGCTGCAATGCACAAACTCGGGTTTTATGGCATCATAGATTTTTACTGCAGCTTAAAATAAACCAAGTGGAAAGAGAAAAAACGACTCAAAAGAGCGATCAGAGTAGTATTTGTGCAGTGCTACATGTGGCTGCTCTATTAGATCACTGAATTGATTTGTAATGTAAGAGCTGCATGTTGCCAGGTGACATGTTGAGGTCTTTTTTATTAACTAAAATATCAGACACTCTACTTCCACATGCTCATGTTATTCTGTGAGTTATGTTAAGTCTCAGACAGTAGTCATGAAAATCCAAGGCTTCAACAGCCCCAGCAGTTCACTGAATACTGTGAGTGGCGTCTTACTTACGGCTCATGTGGCCATAGAAAAGTGACTAAATACTAGGGGGTACTTTTAGAGTGGAATGTACATGTAGAAAACCTTTAAACCATCTCATCAGATACCCATTCCCTACAGCTTTGAGGAGAATGTGATGGTCATCAGGAACCCACACATTCTCCTCAAGGCAGCCCAACCCCTGAACGATTGCATCTTTAGGCAGAACATTTAATAGTAATAATAACAATAAAGACCTTAAAGTACAAACACCCCCCACCAGAAGCACAAGACGGAGGTTAAGTCAGGCCTTGTTTTATCACCGCACTCCCCTTGAAGGCAGTTTATAATGTAGACCCATCTGCTCCATCAAAATGGAGCGGTCTAAATGCAGAGCTGGCGTCTGCTTTACATGCAGCTCACGCATTCCTCTACACCAAAAGCCTGCTCCTTCTCCATTTTTCTGAATTAGCTTGATGGTGCCATCTGCTCATGACCGCCGCCTCACTCTCTAATCTCTCTCCTTCAGCACTCTGTTCCTGTCTCACTCTCCCTCCTAAACCCTGTTAGATCCACTGAGCAGAAAGCACCAAGGTGACTGAGCACGGCCAACCTGTGAGCGGTCACACGGCTGGATTGTTGGCATCACGTTTTTACAGCAATGTAAGCTCTTCCACTGGATGAATATGGATGGATGGGGAGCACTTACCAATCTCTCCAAATCCTGACCGACGATGCCAGCTTCCACATGGGCGGTTAAATTCTTCTCGTCAATCCACAGAATGCGATTCTGAGAATTAAAAAAAAAACATAGCCAAGGAGTTCATATAACATCGTTCATAAATGTTTCATGAAGATCAGCGTGACAGTAATAACCTCTTAAGCACTTTGTTTCACTTGACTTACACAAAAACATGATACAGGTTATACTTGTTATTTAAAAAAAATAGTTCATCACAACGTCCGTCATCTGAATTCTAAACCTGCCTACCTTTGTCATACTGACTTTGTTTAACTGACATTACTCCTACTTTTACACCAGTGTGTCCTTCTAGCCAGACAGTCACATGTCGGAGGATAAATGTGGGCAGAGGGGCTAAGGGACGGACACTTTTTCCTCAAGGTTAAACTCAATTTAACATCCAATTCCAAATATATGCCTCTTATTTGGGCCCGCTGGGCACTTGGCCTACCCCTACCTGCAGGAGGTCATTTCAGACATGCCATCAATTATTCTCCAGAGGTAGTAAACTTTATGGTACCACCACACTGCTCCTTTCATGTGCTTCCATTGGAGCTAAATGCACCTCTGACCCTTGACACGGAGCGCTGGTCACTGGTGTCTCAGGCACCAAAACTCCATGAGTGGTGTGCTAGCAGCATCCGGACAGCTTATATATCACCTGTATGTGGGCCGCAATCAAAGGGCTGTACTGTACTGCTGAGCATTTTATATGATACCCTAATGTTATATTACAGTATATCCAAAAAACATCCTCATGTTGTGGAGATGCTACATATTATTTAAAAATTAAGGATTGATGCCAGAGTGTCACATTTAGCATTTTAAAAAAAAATCCATGTTTCAACTTACATGTATAAAAATGGTGACGTTCATTATTTATGAAACAATATTCTGAATATTTATTACATTCCCTTCAGGTAATCCTGAGTGTGTTTGATGAACACTGTTTTTGAACACATATTTTCCTAAATGGATCATAAAAACATTCAAAATAATCACAGAAATGAAGGAAAGCACTTTGAAACTGAAGCCTGATCATCAAACAGTCCATCAAATAAAAAGGTTCATGTTGAATAGTATGAAATGAGCTGATTCACACAGAATTGGTTTCTGTGTCAGTTTCGAGTGCAGATCCACTGCTTCGACACTTGAGAGACACAGAGTGGGATTACTTACCATCTGTGAGGTATCTAGAGAAACAATGGAGCGAGTTTCCTCTGGGGGGCACTCGAGTGCGCTTGAGACACTAGTCCCTCCTAGAGAGAGAGAGAGAGGGGCAAACAAGAGTTACAATCTTTATGGTAACGAGTTGTTTTTTCAGGCAAAGAAATGGCCCGGTATCATATATGATAGACGTCACAATACATGAAGAGAGTGGGAGACTTTTTTTAAAACAAAAGCTTTAATTTTATATCCACTTTGAATGCCTGCAAAGATTTCTGTCACTCCAGTAAAACAAAATACAACAAGACATACATTCTGCAGAGTCTGCTGCACTGTTAGCATTACTTCTATTCTTTTATGAATGGTGTAGCTTTATAGTCTTTTTGCACTATAGATTGGAAATAAACAATGTATTAAATATAATACATTAACACAATACACTGATTCCATGACTCACCTCCAAAAGGCATCAAACAAACATTATGTTTGCACGCCAGTTCCACAATTTTCACCACATCGTTGTGGCAGTCTGTAAAGGATGAAGGATATCATTTTAGAAATGAGTGGCCATCATGAAGGACATGTTTTCATTTACAGACCTCTATTGCATTCATAAATTAAGAACAGAGATAATAACCAGGGACACTTTGCACAGGAGATAAACATGGCACATAACACTGCTTGTATACGTAGGACAATAAATAAATGTATACAGCCTGAGCCATAAGAGCCGGGGAACCATCAGAGACGCAGGTTTTTGATTTGCCTGACGGGTTGTGATCTGCCGAGGGCTTTCCTCAGGCAGAGTCAGACTGCATGAAGATATGCTCTCTTGGGGGGGGGGGGGGATGTGTCGGATCAATACAAACATGCTTTAGCCAATCATGGAGCCCACATCCATTCACAGGAGCGAATGTGAGCGAGTGGGAAGAGAAGTAATACCCACCCACATAGATATGCTTGACTGGCCTCAAGTGCCTTCAGAGGCGGGTGAGGAATGCCTGCATATGACTACGTTTTGCCATCCAATTAAACACACTGCTTCTGCCTGCAGATTACAGTTCAAACTTTAAAAAAAAAACTAAACATCCATTTAAAAAACACAGCATGACTTTGAGGGGACTACTGAGGAATTCAAATTACAGGTCAAAAAATCTATTATGCATGGCAAATGAGAGAGTATTTGTGGGGTTGGAACATTTTTATTTCCGGGCTTGTTTGAATGAAACGATACCTACAGTTGTTTGGAGATTTGCTGCCCATTTGGGAGGCTGCTAATCAAGTTTCAGCTCTCAGTCAACACTCATCTGCATGATAAAATAGTCCCAGTCATAACAAGAGAAAACCAATCTCAGAATCATAATTCAGGAGTGTGCCGTGCATGGCCAGGCCGTGGAGTATCGGGTGTCAACCGTCCTCCCCCTGACGCTTCTTATTAAGCCTCCACTCATACATATTAATATCCCTGCCTCTGCAGAGATTAACCCTTTAAATCACCTAAGCCAGTGGAGGGATGAGGGATGCTACGTGGGAGGAGGAAAAACAGGCAGATAAAACACACACAGATATGAACTCACTTGGCCATATCACCATATCTGGAACGCGGCCAATCTTTCCTTCTCGCAGGGCAAAGACCTCGTGTAAGCAGTGGCCTGGAAGACAAAAAAGACTGAAATGAGATGACACACATCAAGAGAGTTTTTGATGCAACTATCAAAAATAAAAACACTGTTTTAAAAAAAAAAAAAAAACATTCCTAACAATCCAACAAACCAGATTAATGAAACAGCTGAAGTGCCCCCCCCCCCCCCAGGCATGCCTTACCATGGGCGCGAAACACCCGGTCCTCTGCATCATGGGAGAAGGGGATACCTGTGGATTTCACTTCCTCCACAAAGGCCTCGTTAATAGTGGGAGGCTGCACTGCACTGCTCGTCAAAACGGGCTGAAACAGAAATAATCGACTTTAATTTTGGTAATTGTGAATAACAGCTCTTCTTTAGCGCTTCCTGCAGAAAACAGAAAAATACATATGAGTGAGACTCACTGTTGCTGGACTTTTATGCTGCAAATTGGCTCCGAATGTGCCTTCCATCCAATCTTTCAGACCGGGAATGATCATACCACTCAGTCTATACCTGGGTTATGTGTAGAGGAAGACAGATTTTGTATTAAAAAACCAAAACAAAAGGAACAATTGAAAATGGCATGTATGAGTGATTTTTAGTACTGGAAGTCAGAACCCTCAATTGAAAACATCTAAATGCTCGACTAGGCCTTTTTGATTTTGAAATGCACATCTGTGCCTAATAAGAATAGAGTGTGAGGTTTGAGTCCAAAGAGGTTATTAAGCCGAGCAGAGCAGCAGTGACAGTGTCTGTGCTGTCTGTGTGACCGCCCTCGCCATCCCTTGCATAATTGAGCTGCTGGCACAGCCTGGGCCAAGCCATCAGGGCATTGTGCTGTGCCTTTGTCCAAGAGAGCATGAAACACACCCTATAATGAAAAAAAAGCCTCTGTCACAGTGAGCATAGAGGAGGAGGAGAACAACATCTCAGACATTCACTCAGCTGTGCCCCAGCATTGGTTACTCTACACTGCCCAGGTAGCTTTTCAGTCGAGCGGGCACAGAGCGGTTTGTAGAAACAGCTCTCACAGGAGGAAGCCAATTGCTGTGCAACATCCTGTTCAACTCGACTCATTACTCAAAATACATCCTTATGTGCCATTCCTCTGCGTTTACAATGGGACAAGCAGGGCCGTCTCTTCCAGAGGCATACGTCATGATTACAATAAAAAGGCTCATCCATACATCTTGCTTTGTTATGGGAGACAGGGATAAAGGAGCAGAGAGAATGATTCTCTCTGTTCTAAACAGAAGCCATTTTCAATTATATTGCAGACAATTGGCTTAATCTTTTCACCCTCTCAAACACTGAAATTAAATGTTTTTTTGTCTCGAAAATGATCGATTAACTGTGTTCCTACAACTCCCCTGATACCAATCAATAATTACAAACATGATGTGTTCCATTTTAGACAGGTTGCAAAGTGGTTTCTGTTCATGAGCTTCAGACTTTGGAAGTGCTCAAATCACAAACAGTAACCTTCTCATATAACAAAGAACAGTTCAAATGCCAGCCACTAGGTGGCAGTAGCACCACATTGCTGTGAGTGTAGGAAGGCAGCAACTGAATTAAAGAGCTGGGTTCAGACTCAGAGAGTGTTGTGAGAATGATCAATGTATGACTCTATCCTAAATACACCCACACACGAGTGGTGAAGACATACTGGGTGTAGGAGAAAGAAAAGAGGCTGTGATTGAGACACAGTGCTGACTGATTCTTCTAAATCATCAACAGGTAGACTGGCGCAGTGTGGTTAACAGAGGGGAGGTGATATTACACAGTACCTTTTGCCAGTAAATTCTGCCTGCCCTTTCTTGTTAAAGAGGAATTTGGTGTCACTGTATCCCCAGCCGTTCCATTTCATAATCTCCTGCCTGTGGGGAAACAAACAGTATCAGTGGTTAAGTATTCATCTCATACACCTTATTACAGAGGAGTCAAGACCGACACACTATCAAAGGAAGATAAAAAAAAGAGGTGAAAGTGATTCCTTTGGTAATGACCCCATTTAGTGTTGGCTAAATAGATAAAGACGTTTTCTGCTATTTAGTTTTCATGACCTTTGGGTTCATCCGGGGGGGGGGTTTGCAATCATGACCCCCAAAATAAGGGTGCCAGAGACTGTGGACCCCCCCCTGTCTGGAGGTGGTTGAGGCATGTAATGTAGGACACTGCCACACTCTCGCACCTAAATCACTCACTTTGTGTAGTAAATATATATATTTACTATTTACTTTTTTACAAGAATGGATCAAATATACAATTTTGAATTATTTTAAATGTGTATTATTTCTTTTGGAAGGCCAGACCCCCACTTTGGGAACCACTGCTTTAATGCAGGAGCAGAGGCGACATATTCAAAGTTTGCATGCACAGAAGAAGCTAGCAAACACAGACACTCCCTGTGCTGTGGGCCATTTCCCCTCTAACACTTTACATTTATGACACCCTGCTGGCTCTTTTATCAAAAGCTGATTTCAATACTGCTCAGGTTTGGTCGGTGATAAAGGCAATTATTTTGTGTATGCTGTAGTCATAAGCTCAAGCTAATTATTTAGCGCATGTATCCACTTAAAAAGCACACAAGCACACGCCACACCCATGTAATGTGGAATTTGTCAAATTTCACAATCATTTAAATATTTATGGGTATTTTATTATAATCACCAGCTTCACAAGAAGATATTCTGCCATATTGTCCATGCTCAACATGTAGAACATTTGTTCTGTACTTACACCTCAGCAGCACACCATAAGTCACAGGTCACTTGGGATGGGATGCTGACAAAAGTAGCATTGAAGCTATAACTAAGATTAATAGCTACCAAAGTGGAGTTTCCTATGAATTCAAAGTGGGTGCAGAAATGAGAGCGACACACAGTTATGTTTTGATAAATCCTTGCTTAAACTACAATGCAGTCCTGGTTGGTGTAAAAATTGAACAAATAAACAAAACAACAAAGCTCTCCCCCAAGAGTTCTTATTGTCTAGATACAGGGTGTACGGTTGGTGATGTAGAAGGCTTTCCTGATAGTGTGGCCCTTGAAGGCAAATTTCTGATGTGTCATTTTGAGCTACACAAACAAAACTAATGACTAACTTAGACCCATACTATACTCTATTTGATTAATATTTGTATTAATATATTTCTACTGCTATACTGTATATTTTGGAGCAACTGTAACGATCAAATTTCCCTCTGGGATTAATAAAGTATTTATGATTCTGATACTAAACACACCAAAGGACAAGAGCAAAAGAATGATCTTGTACATTTTGCAATAAAATACGAATTGTTTGCTCATAGAATTCAGCATAAGTAATGCTTTTTTGGACAGACTGAGAGACGACAACATATTTAAGTTGTGATTGAATCTTTGACTTTCAGCTTAGATGAGATAAGGGGATGCATGTGACTGTTATGTTGTTTTTTTCGAATTGACTTATTGCATGTCTGTTGTATTACAGTGTATCATTTTCAGTTTGGTGTACTTTAAAAAAAAAATCAACCTAACGGAAGCGGTAGTGGATGTCCATTTATCAATGTCTGTCTGTGCTGAAGAGCACTTTTAGCTAAAATATTTGCACATGAGCTGAAACTCCTCCAGACAACCTGCAAGTCCGGATTCTTGCCTGAAAGCAATTAACCAGCCATACCAGAAAGGTAGCAGTAAGAATTTCTGCAAAAAACAGTTCAAAGGCTGAACAGAGGGAGGCCATTACTTCTCCAAAGTAACTATGGCTATCTTCATGTTCAGTTAAACAAATGGCCTGAACATAAAGGCTTCCTGGCTTACCTGCACAAACCCAAATATGACTGTTTGAATGTTTTCCAATTCTGTGTCACTTTTTAAACTTACACTCTCTCTATTAATTCAGAACAGACAAGGCTGTGAGCCGTGACATTTGATCAAATCACCTCAGTGTCATATTGACCTGGAACATGACATGATGAGTTTCACAAGGCCAAATAGGCCTACTGATACTTTTAGAGTGTTGGACTTTATTTGGAGCTTGGGCTGTTTTTTCCCAGACTGACACTAGATGTCAGCACAGTGTGTTGTTTTCTCAGAAGGAAATGAGCTGCCAATAGGTTGAAAGTCAGACCACTACTTGTCTTAACCAATCAGATCACCAGAACTTCAACAGAGATTGCTGTCACAAATTAGATGATTCCCCCCCACCCGTTGTTCTTTAATATCTAATAATACTGTTTAAGACATGGACCACAACCTGTTCGTTACTTTATCAACCACTTCACATTTTGATCAATCAATAATGTTAGCAGATGTGTAGTTATGAAGAACAACATTTATGAATCAAACTATAAAAATGACAGGTAAAGTTACTGTCACAGCAGGAATAATGTGTTATACTAATAAATGTCGACGATTCAATCCAGTGACTCTTTTTAGTGAATCATCAGGAAAGTGCCAGAAGCTTCGCCAAAACTTAACAATCTAAATCTTTTATGACATTACTGGCATGGGGGGGAAAATCCCCATATGACGAATTAAATCAACTAATACAAGCCAGGGAATACGCCTGGACTGAACAACTTTGAGAAAGTCGCCCACAATAACGTTAGACTCTTAAGATTGGACCTAGCCGCACCCACTCCTTAGCAAATGAATGTCTACTTTGTAGCCAAGTAACGTTAGCTAGCAGGCTAATTAAAAGCAGCTTTAGCCGTCTCTCCCTCCGTTGCTAAGCTCGGATAAGAGAGGGGAGACTGTCTGCCAGTGCATATCATCCTATTAGTTCTTGTATAGAAATTAGTCCACGGATGATTGACTTAAAACTAGCAAAAGCCAAAGATGATGGACCCGTGTCCCCCGCTCCATCACAGCCTCGTACCTCCTCTTTGGCACCGTCTTCTCCTCATCTGTCTTGCTAACTTGGCCTTTACACTCCGCGGAGAGGACGGCCGAGTCACCGTCCTCCGGTCTCTGTAGATGTCCAGCTATTATCCTCAGTCTCTGCTGTGCAATCCTCTGCCTGTCGGAGCTGCTGCCGCTGCTGTTGGACGCCATGCTGCTTCCGTGTTTGTGAAGGGAGGGAGCGGATCCATGAGCGGGGCCGGCTGTCAGAGGTCAGCACAGGGAAAGTGTGGTGCGTTCAGAGCCTGTCGGAAATATCAAAGGCAGGCACAGAAATAACCCGAATAGTGGCAAATGCCTGGAAACTAGGGGAAGTGTCAGTTTTCTCTCTTGCCACGTTTCTAAGTAAGGGAGAGAACTTGTGAACTCTAAGACGTTATCCTAGGCTTTTCAAGTGTTCATAAATCTTACAGACGATTGGTGTGGTGCTAGGCTATGTGAAGTGCATTGGCTCAGAATGAGGATGAACCGATAAGGCATTTAAAATGTAACGTGGTCAACAGACAATTAACCTTCTAACTAAATTATTCTTCTAATCAGATTAGCCTATTTTTTGAGTCCCTCTAGCATCAGACACACCAATCATCTACCAACCTGGCATCTTATATTTGGGAATCTGCTGATTTATTTTAATTACCCTACATGATAGTTTAACCTGTATTTTTGGACTTTAAATTACAGGACACAAAAAACGGATCAGGCATAATTGGACTCTAGGACAGACGAAAATAAATAAAACAATATAGAGGATTTTCATTTGTGTCAGTAATTATGGAAGTTGGCTCAGAACAATTTACGTGTTCCGTCTTTGTTGAACATAGACTGTGGCTTATATAAGAAACTGTTATATAGACTACAGTCTATGGTTGTGAGTTAGGAGCATATAGACTGTAAATATTGGTTAGGAGCTTTAAAGAGCACTTGAACGCAGCATTTAACGTATTTCCCAGCAAGCCTAGCGGTATACGACCGGTTACATACGCTCCATTGACTGAGACTGTACAGTTATTAATTTACATACCGTAGTAGTTAGGAGATAACAACATGAAGTCAGCCTTTTTCTTCTTGTTCCTAAAAGTATTCGAGGGGACAGAAAGGCAGTTCAAAACAACTTAGACATTTTTGATACCTTTAAATAAAGGATCATCTTTATTGATCCCTCATTGGGGGAAATTTACAACAATAATGATATTGATAAAATTAGTAAGAGGAAAAAGTATGTGCTATTAAAATTACAAGCTATACCGACCTATTCGACACCATAATTGGAGGTTAAAGATATATTTTTAAAACGCTTGTCTCATCAGCTTGTAGTGGGATATAGGCTACATGTGTTAATTTGTAAAAGTACGCATTGACAATTAGGCTACGCAAGTTCATTCAGGTGAGTTTAAATTATAAGAATATCATTAATCAAACCAGAGAACAATAGAATAAAACTTGCACGGTTTACTTCTATGTACTCTCCATTGCAAACCTAGCAGATAAAACTTGAGAAAATAGCTTATAGTTTCAGATGAATCTCTCGCATTATCATTTAAAATATTTTTTTTAAAATGCACGTATTGAGTGTCAGACGTCCTCATGTGTGAGTGAAGTTTTACAACCTGAGAGTAACTTGAAACGATGTGACTATGTGTTCCTGTCTATCTCTTCTGTACTCAGTCACATGACCAGTGTGACTTCTGTTTCCATATGGCATATTGCAGTGCCCTTTAAGTAATGCTTTAACACAAAGGTAAAGCACATAAACTACAAAATACAACTTCAGAATACTTGTTCACCTTGGTTACATATGAAAAATGACAGACACAGTGAAAATGCTGAAGAGAGAAACTTTATTTTAGAAAACAGTTCATTTGTACCAAGGATTACTACACTGCAGTAAACGTCAATGTCCAGATGTTTGAGGATTTATCTCCCAAATGTTAAAGTATTAACTCCCAAAACAAAGTTCTGTAATGCACTGACTGCCAGCACTTAGAGTCTAAGTGTATCACAGAACTTTATTTGGAAAGCCATAGTGCCACCTCATAGGTTTGTCCTTGTGCAGGACCTTATCCTCCTCATGACTGGGTGCTCCTTTAACCTGCATCAAAAGTAGGATAAACATGGTGTACACTTTGATTATCTCTCTTTGTACTGTATTGACTTAAACACAAAACATACAACATAAAAAGAGAAAACAGCTGTTGCACTTTTTTTTTAATATATAGAAAAAGTAAGCTAAGTTGAGAATGCTCTGAGGATTGGGCCTACTGAAAGGCTGCTATGTGGTGGCGGGTCCTCCAGAAAGAAGAGATATCACAGGTAAAGCAGGCCAAATGGAGTCTTTGTACATTTTGTCAGCCTGAATATCATTTGGGCATATGCAACGGTTAATTCCTGTCATATTTTCTACCAAAAAATGATCCTGAATGTATTTACTTACCCCTTAAGCTTGACCATCTGTTAGTTACAAATTTATTAACCAGTCTCCAGATCAGCTGACATCTTTGAAATGTCCAGTTGTGGTGATATCTTTCACTACAGTTGGATTACTTCACTCCTGTGCCCATGTGTCATTGATTCTACCTGTTGAGCTTTTACAACTTTGTGAACTGAACAGAATAAACGCTGTTCACAGCACAAGACAGAAAGATATAGCCTAATAGAAATGAGAAAAGTGCAGAAGGCTAGAGGAGTGTTAAGTTCTGTCAGTTTGAAGCTACTTGTGACACTTGCCACTTCAACAGCAAACAAGAGATAACAACTTTAAAAGTGCAAAATAACATCATAAAATACATGTTTTCATGGATCTTGCTGTTGGAAATGATTACCACGAGAAGTCTTGTTTAAAAGCACATTAGTTCTGCGAGCCATACAGTACCTGATGTAGGTAGACGCAAAGAAACCAGCTGCAATCCAACACGAGGGGGCAAGTAGCCTGGATCACAAAATGCAAAAGCAGAAAGCGACGTGAGGACATTGCAGGCCATAACTGGATTCACACTGCAAACGCCGGTTTTCACTGTGATCGGTGTCCGTCTGCGGACTTGCAGCGCTCCGGTCTTAAGGTGTCTGTCGCCGCTTTTACCTTTTCTTCCCCCAGTCCTGTGTGCACTTCACTATATGCAGCTGGAAGAATGTCGACGTGGAGCTGCCAAACGTGAACGCGTGCTCATGAGCGCGCATGAGAGGGGGGAAAAGAGGCTTTTTAGTGTAATTTCACGCAGTAGCACAGTGAGCTGCACTTTAGTGTGAGCTTCTTCACAGATAGGTGTCAGAGCCAGGACCCAGTCCCTCTTATTACCTTGACATATTTCGAAGACCCTTAATTACATCTCAATCCCACTTCTGACTTACGTTGAGGTGTCAGAATGAGTCAAAATTAATTAACTGTGTGGATTTTATAAGCCCTAACCACATCTTTGGACTGGATCAGAACGAAATATAATTATTAAATATATTTAAATCATTAAGTAGGCCACTCATTATAGAAAGACTTTATCATAGGCTGTACTTATCATTAGTGATTCTGATGTGTGCATGTTAAAATTAGTTAACATTTAAAACCTATATTTATTTGTTAAGCTATAAGAGATGCTAGAAGAATTCAGACAAAAACTTTGGAAAATCTTTTTAACAATGCAAAATCTAGCAATCGTTTAAAACCTTACTTTGTGTTGAAATGTTTGTCAGAATCTGAAATCATGCAATGTGCACCAGAATGATCGAATTGAAAGTTATTCAGGAAACATATTTTTGTTTTGTTATCAATTATATATTCACTGTTTATTTACAAAGTTGTGCTATTTTTACTTCTGGGTATTACAACATATAACAATGCAATAGGTCTCTTTATTGTAAACGTATAACTTTACTTCAATAAACACTATTGGTTTGTTGTATTCATACCTCACAGCCCTATACATGTGGCATGTGTTTTTCCTTAAAACAATCACACATGTGTCCTGGAGGCTGAGGATATGTTGGTACAAACATTTGATGTAATGCTATCTTTGCTAAGGCTTCACAGGGCTGTTCTCTATTCAATATTACAATCATATTTACTGATATTGGCAACACAAGCCCATATGACTAAACATGCAACAAAGACAGTGATGAAATTACATTTACACAACTATGTACCTCATGCTGTTGTGGAGTCCATTAGGCTACTTCATCTTTACCTTTCCATCGTGAACGCTGTGCTTACCACATTAATGAAACAGCTTGAGCTGTATTTGCTGATTAAAACTTTAGAGCTAAAACACATGATCATAATGATCATACATTGAACAAAAAAACATTCAGAAGCAGTTAAAGTGAGCTCCACATCAACAAACTAAAATGACTTGTCCATGCATGAGCATAATCCCAAAATAAATTAATACACAGTAACAGAGACTTAGAACAACAATGAATAGCCTGCTCTTTATTTTGTACAATATTTTGTGAATATTTATGTCCCTTTGTTAAAGTTACATTTGAAATGCAGGACTCTAAGATATTAGTAGCCATACTTTTCTTTAATAGACAGCTTCATGTTTTTCCCGCCACTGAGCAAAGCACAAAGTTTGTTGATCTCAGAGACATTCAGTAGATGTCTTGAGTTTTTATAAGGGGACATTAGGGCCCCCGGGCCTCCAGCTCCACATCGGGCTTCATAACCAGCAGGGGGCGCTGTGCACCAATCAAAACTCTTCTGGTGACGTGGGTGACGTAGTTAGAAAAGAAACGGTAAAGTTACACAAAAGATTATAATAACACATGAGATCGCGTATTTGGAGATATATTTGGGGGGAAATGCTCATAAGAGCTCTGCCGTTATCCTCGGGATGTTTTTTCTAAATTTTTATTTAGTCCACGTTTATTTTTTTAGATCACGTGTGCCGCCATCTTTTGGATTATGATGACCTTCAAGCGTTCATCAAAGGCTCAATATACCCTCAAACGCTATGATTTTCTTTTTTCTTTTATTCCAGGGTGTTTGATCTAGATAAAGTGTTAATGTTCAGCCAGCCCAGTGGTCCCCTCACGCATGCGCACACAGCCCCTCCACGTCTCATAGGCCGCTGTGAGGGGGACGATCCCGGCGCTGCAACACGGTAGGCAGGGCCAGCATTTCCGTAATGATCATCATATGTCAAGGAAGCAATGTTTTCCTCAGTTCAGCTGCTGTGACGGACCTTATCGGCTCCGGACGGACCGCTCGCCATTTTAATCTGTCATTTGAGGAATTACACGTTTATATATCCATCATACGGCGTTTCTATACGGTGACACAGATCTCCACGATGATGGACATGGAGGTGATGCATTCCAGTCAACAGGTAAATACGAGTTATTTCTTCCAAGTGACCACAAACTGGCTAACATTTGATTTGAACTTCCTTTATAGTTGAGACAGAAACGTACTGTAACTTTTTAGTGTTTAGTATAGCAGATTAAATTGTCAATATAAAGTGTCAGTTATAGCCTATGTTATGTCATAGTTAAGAGGTTATAATGAAGGAAAAACAGTTTCAGTTTTAGCGTGAAAGTACAAAACACAGGAGAGCTTCTCTCTCTGAATATTGAGTCTGCTTTCTAAACCGCTTTCAGTTCTGCAAGTCATTCACGTGTGACGTTTTTCCTCGACAGGAAACAAAATCAACTTTTATTGGTATTAAAATTTATTTTCATTGTGACTCTGTAAAAATTACAAGTTTTCTAACACTGTCTGGTTTGGTAAACAAAAAAAAGGAAGCTTCTGGAGCCTTTATTCCGGTAACTGTTTTCCTCACCCCGCCCCCTTTGCTTTTCCTCAGAGCATGTGATACCATATCTGATGTAGACAAGCTTGTAACCATAAAAAAAACTCAATTTTTAAAGACAATGCTGTTTCTCCTGATGTGTAAATCTTAATGTGGACATGATATGTTCACACACAGCTTTAATATTGCTTGTGTTTCATGTTACAAGGCCTTACATCTTCAGTGTTATGGTAAACTTGCCATAAGTCAGGGTCAGTGGGAGTACACAGTTGACTGATGATTAGGGCCTATAAACAGGGCTGCTTTTGAGCATGTGCGGCTGTGTTTCATCATCCATGGTCAAGGGGGCATGTCCACTAAAGGAGGCTACAATAAACCACAGGAGTCAGCTGCCCTTTGAGGCCCTTGTGTTGAGCTGAAAGGAAGTAAATGAACAACTCAAACTTAAGGCTCACACTAGTATCACTCTTTTATCACGCAGTTTGGCAGCATTATGAACTTTTGGCTTTTCACTTAGCTTGTTGTGGGTGTTTTTAATATCACATGTAATCGAGTTCATGTGTCTATGCTGCATATTTAGTCTCTTATTTCATACTAAAGGCATGTTGTTTTACTTGTATATCCATGTAGCTTTTTGTGTGACGGAGAGATCTGGGAGATATTTGATGTGCTAGTTTCCTTGTTCTGGTGCCAGTACAGGTCAGGTGACAGACCATTGCGATAACCTGATCTCACACACCCACATTTACAGCACCTATTTGTCGCTAATACAGAACAATATCATTTAATAAGTTACTGTGGTTCTATTAAGTTATATAACTGCAATTTTAATCAGTGGGAGTGAACTGGCTGATTGAACTTTCCCTTCATAGGAAGACAGACCTTATTTAGACATGGGCATGTGTTTTTTAAGGGACTAGTATGACCTGTCTGATGGGCTTATAAGGTGTGACCAACTGGTAAGAGTGTGGGATTTATTTGTTTGGAAAAAATGTATGACCTCAAGAAGTGTGTGAAGTTGTCCCACTTGGATATTTTAGGACACTTCCTCGTTCCTACAGGAGCCATAATGCCTGCTTGTGTGCACTCATTTCAGTTATAGTAGGCGGCCTTGGTAATGTGTAATCCGTCAGTGGTCATGCCTCTGATGCAACACTGAGGCAAAGAGGGTTAGTGGGTTGCTCATTTTCTCTGCCATTGCTGGAGTCAGAAAAACTGTGTCAACAATGTCTTTAAATACATAAAGGTGTTGTTTACTGTCATTTCCACACATTTGGAAAGATTCTTACAAATCAGAGAAGAAGGCTCATTTTTTTTCTCTGAGTTTTACATCCTCATTTTTTCTTGTGTATTCTTCTGCTTTGTTCTTTATTTCCCTTCAGCTTACTTTCTGCTTCCTCCTGGCTGTGTCTGCTCAGGCCATATGACCGATTTTCAAGCATTAGAAAGCCTAGACCATAAGTCATGTTTGTACCCAAATCTGAGGAACAAACAAGTCACATGGTCAGACATGTTCCTGTGAGCCAGTGTCTTTGGTTGATGTAACTTCCCCGGGCCTTGTGAAACGGTTTCCTTCTGTAAATAAGTTTCTGGTGAAAGAGCCAAGGAAGAGAGCAGTTTATCTTCAGACATTTTTGTTTATAAGAGCAAATAACATTCAGCTTGCGAGAGGAAATCAACAGGAAAGTCCATTAAAATACCATCGTACTTGTTAGTACTCTGCGCCTGCTGTATTGTTGGCAACACTCAGCTTTAATGTGCAAATAGTTATCTTACACTTATCTGTGCAGGGTTGTGATATAATATCTTGAAGCTGGTTATTATTAGTTGCAGTGCTTTGCTTGAAGACAACGAACAGAAAGACATCATGGAAACAAGGCCTGTTATTCCCCTTAGACATATCTGCTGTTTTACTTTACTTTACTTTTATTTGATTATATTGTTCAACCCTTTATGTGATATGTTATATCACTAATAAATATGATCTTTTCTTTAAGCCTTGTAATAACACCTGTTATTAAACCATCTCTAAACATACCTGTAACTTTCTGTTATAAAATTAGGTAGGTGGGTAGGGTTTACAAAAACAGTTCACCTATATAAAAATATATTTGTGGTTATATGAAGACAAATATGTTTGTGAAAAGTGGCCAGAGCGATTACTGTTCAGTGAATGAATAATAATAATAATAATAAATAAATAAATAGACAGTTGTGCTGACTGAAAAAATATATACAGTTATTATTGTGCAGTGACTGATTAGGTAAACAATATATATGTTGGAATTTAAGTTGACTTCATTGTGAGAACTAAGCCATCACATGGGGTTCCTTATACAAAAACTTATCTTAGAGTGCAGACCTATTTGTGAGTTCTGATGTAAAACAAACTGAGATCTGTTGAGTAATTGTATGGGTGATGAAAGCTTCCTGTGGAAAGGGTATCAACTGATGATACGTGTCTGTTACTGGAGCGTGGTGGCAGCCGGGGAAAGAGAGAAGTACATGTATTATTCACGTGGCTTCTCCCTCTTGACATTGGTGCCAGTGTTGTCAGAGAGTGAACAGATACAGAGGGACAGCAGGGTGTGGCGGGTGCAGCAGCCACGCTTCACAGCAGGCGACGCTCTTCCTTTGCTTTTTATTAGCGCTCACTCTCTCTCGCTACATGGACGAGTATGTACACACTCCCCTAACCTGATGTGCTGTTGTCTTTTCAGGACATGAACCTGATTGACATCCTGTGGAAGCAGGATATTGATCTGGGTGCCAGGCGCGAGGTGTTTGACTACAATCACCGTCAGAAGGAACATGAGCTGCAGCGGCAGCGCGAGCTGGAGGAAGAGAAGAGGCAGGATCTGCTGCGGGAGCAGGAGAAGGCGCTGCTGGCACAGCTACAGCTCGACGAGGAGACGGGGGAGTACATACCATGCCCGCCGACCAGCGCCCCGCTGCAGACGGCCGTCACGCCTCTCGAGGTTACACAGGTAAACGCACCTGGCCGTCATTACTCATGTCAGAGGAGGACCACTCCCATCTCATTTTGATAGGCTGCGGCCATGTCGTAGCTAGGTAACCACCTCCTTGTGTAATTACAGACACACAGGTGGGTCTGTAGTTTTGCATTGGTGCTTTGAATGTGCTTCTCAGAGGGCTGAGTGTTATAAATATGAAATACTTAAAAGATGCTATGCTAAAAAAGATGCTAGCTGGTGGCTCTAATAGAAATCTTTGAATCTGTTCTGGCAGAATGTCAGCTTCACAGAGGGGAACGGTGAGACCATGTCTTTTGCTGAGTGCTTGCAGCTGCTGGCAGAGACGTTTCCTGTAGAGGAAGCTGAGGTAAGAACATTAAATCATTACCACACGTGACAACACAGCTCGCCATTTAACGCAACTTTTAGCTGTACTGAAAAAGGCCATATTCTCGTCTTAACCTCGCAGAACTCCTCAGTTTGCTTGGACACACCTGCTGTTTCAGCACCCATGATGCCCCCGGAGCAGCCAGCCGCGACGCCGGCCGCCCTTTCCCCACCGTCACCACCACACCAACAGAGGATGGTCCCGGATCTGGAGCAGGCCTGGATGGAGCTTTTGTCCCTCCCTGAGCTGCAGGTATAATACATGGATTGTAATGCCTCAGTGGCACAGTGGTCTGCGCTGGTATTTGTTGGAACAAATACCCAAAGAATGCATCAACGTCAGGAGCCCTGCATTAGAAGACAAACACCTTTTTGTTTGATTTATGAGAACGGGGTCTCCTACATGCAAGGCCGGTTTACCGGTCTCATTCCTCCAAGATTAGGTTTCATTGATGAGACTTTTTCAGTCAGGGAGCTTGTTATTCAAGATGTGATGCCGTTTTTTTTTTTTATGAATAGTAGTCTCCAGCTTAATCCGAGAGATTAAGAAGAAACCTTGTTTAGCGAGGGAGTGGCTATCGTAAATCCTTTGCTTATGGCAGCAATATCAGCATATGTACTCAGTGTTTTTTGTTTTTTTTCCTTATCAGTTTTGTGTCAAGGCAGCTCGTATTTGCATTCTTTGATGGGTGTAGTAGAGTTGCATTTGGTGCCTTAGACTTTCACTCTGTATTAGGGGCGACTGGACTACAATCCTAACCGAACAGGTTACCATTCAGCAGCGCTGCATAACTTCAAACAAGTTAACATCGTAGAGGACTGGGATAGTGTGGAACTGTGTTCTTGTAAGAGGCAAAGTGATGATTACGTTTACAGCATTAGCAAGCTAAGAGTTTGGCATTTATGACTTTTGAGCTTTTTCAACAATTGGAAATCTATTTTTTTAAAGAAACAGGAGGCTTCTTTGTGCGCATATTTAACACTTTTTTTTAAAATCTGTGAATACATTTGAGGTGGAACAACTTTGGTAGCCAAATGCCATAGGTATTGCTTACTAAAAAGATTTGCAAAGATAAAGCATGCATCTCTTTCAGGTATGGAATAGTGCAAGGAAGACTTATTTCAATCTATTTGCACCAGATTTCAATATTCAGGTTCTGTAATCAGGATAAAGAGCCTTTTATCATTTGTTACCATCAAAGTTTGCCACAGATCAGGCTTTAGATGCAGCTGTAGGTTTAATTGTATCTCAATCACTTATCCATAAAGAGTATAACTTTTTTGTTTTAATCTCTTCTTAGACTTCTGATACATCAAAGCAAAGCTGTGTATTCAATGTTATCTAATGTTTTTTTTTTCTTTTTCTTCTAGCAATGCCTGAGCATGCAAATGGAGGATACACTGGAGACCACGACTTATCCTCTTCCAAACAGCTCGGACATCCAGAATCCAAACTACACTTTTTACCCCATGGCTGACCTCACAGAGGGGGAAACAAACAATGTCAACGTTTGTCCGGCAGAGTTTATGAATACTCTTAATGGCTCTGTTACCAGTGTGGCTCCAGCAGACACCATCTCCCAGATGAAAGCAGCAGAGGATCCAGTGTTAAATACTAACTTCAGTGCAGAACATTTCTGTGACATTTTTTACCCCAATGCTATTGTGGAAGAGAGCAGTGGGCAGCATGGCCTTGAAGGAAATGAAATGAAAACCATCTCTGATACCCAAAACAAGCCTTCTTTCACTCCACTGGACCTTTACAGCCTCTCGCCTGGTGATGCATTTGAAAAAGGCAAACCAAATGTGATGGCAGAATTGCCGGACTCAGATTCAGGAATCTCTTCAAACACAAGTCCGAATTCGAGTTCCCCCGGGAAGTCTGTGTATGGAGATGGCTCCTTTATTTACAGTGATTCAGACATGGAGGAGATGGACCAGAACCCTGGCAGTGCAGAATCTGATTACTCAGAGATGTTCTCCATTAATTTCCAACCTGATGATCTTCTGCCTGCATTTTCTGTTTATTCTATAACAGGGCAGTCTGATCAGCTGGAAAAGAAACCCAAACACCTTAAGACCGACCCAGCAGAGGAGAGCGGTCACAACAATGCTCCCTTCACCAAAGACAAGCTGAAGAAACGCTCTGATGTGCGTCTCTCCAGAGACGAGCAGAGGGCTAAGGCCCTCAAAATCCCCTTCACTGTATCGATGATTATCAACCTGCCCGTTGACGATTTCAACGAGCTGATGTCAAAGCACCAGCTGAACGAGGCTCAGCTGGCCCTGGTCCGAGACATACGGCGCCGCGGCAAGAACAAAGTGGCTGCCCAGAACTGCCGCAAACGCAAGATGGAGAGCATAGTGGGTCTGGAGAGCGACCTGGACTCACTGAAGGAAGAGAAGGAGCGTCTGCTGGACGAGAAGAGCCAGAACGCTGCAGACCTGAAGGAAATGAAGCAGCAACTCAACAGCTTGTACCTGGAGGTCTTCAGCCAGCTGAGAGACGAGAAGGGACATTCATACTCGCCGTCTGAATACTCCCTCCAGCAGTCCACCAACGGCAGCATCTTCCTGGTTCCTCGTGTGAAAAAGACTTTTATAAAGAGTGAAGACAAACACTCATCTCCTTAATAGTATGGTACTGCATTATTCTAGTAATACTATGCAATAACTTTGTAGACGCTCAGCTTTGAAGCATTACTTGCTTAGCAGAACTATTGTATAGTTTTTGCGCACTTCTCTTGAATGTAATATTTTTGATATTTTACTTTTGTACTCTGATATCGTCAAAGATTCTTTAACAAATATCGTTTGTAAATATAAACATCACTTGCTATTGAGATTGATAAAACTGTTACTGTGTGTAAATATATATATATATATAAATTGTATATATCATATTTCTGTATTCTGATCGTTTCAATCATTACTTGTATTTTTTAACTGTCCCTGTATGATTTGCTGCCCAAGTTCTCTTTTTTTTTTTTAAATCTCGACTTCACTGCTTTTAAATAAAATATTCATAGTATAGACACACGGCCTCCTGTTTACTGGGAACAGAACATAACCGAACAGGTTACCATTCAGCAGTGCTGCATAACTTCAAACAAGTTAACATCGTAGAGGACTGGGATAGTGTGGAACTGTGTTCTTGTAAGATGCAAAGTGATGATTATGTTAACAAGCTAAGAGTTTGGCATTTATGACTTCTGAGTTTTTTCAACAAATGGAAATCTAGAGGAGGAAACAGGAGGCTTCTTTGTGCGCATAGTTAACACTTTTAAAAACATTTTTTTTTTTTTATCTGTGAATACATTTGAGGTGGAACAACTTTGGTAGCCAAATGCCATAGGTATTGCTAACTAAAAACATTTGCAAAGATAAAGCATGCATCTTTGTCAGGTATGGAATAGTACAAGGAAGACTTATTTCAGTCTATTTGCACCAGATTTTAATATTCAGGTTCTGTAATCAGGATAATGAGCCTTTTAGAAGTGTGCTATATGGTTATCATTTGTCACCAAAGGTTGCCACAGATCAGGCTTTAGATGCAACTGTAGGTTTAAATGTATCTCAATCACTCATCCATAAAGATTATCTTTTTTTTTTTAAATCTGTGAATACATTAGAGGTGGAACAACTTTGGTAGCCAAATGCCATAGGTATTGCTAACTAAAAGAATTTGGAAAGATAAAACATGCATCTTTTTCAGGTACGGAATAGTACAAGGCAGACTTATTTCAATGTATTTAGTCTATAGACACACTGCCTCCAGTTTTCTGGGAACAGAACATTGTGTGGTGTATTATGGTCTGCAGCAGATTGATGCCAGATGGATGTATAGTCCGAGGAGCGGTTACGTAACTTACCACATGCTCAAGTCAGTTCTTGACGTGAGAGCTCTACCGACAGGCTTAGAAAGCAGCAAATGAAAGGAATACTGTACCCAAACAAGAGTGTTATTGGCTTAAACCATTTTATAATCTGCTTGCCTTTTATTGGACCACGCTTGTTTGTATTGTAACCTAAATCTTTTAATGCTGTAAACCTCCCATCGCAAAAAAAAAAAGAAACCCCACCCACTGTGTTCATTATGTTACACAAAGAACACAATTGTGGAGTATGCTCAGTATAAACCATGCATGTCGACTCCACAATGATCCACCCGGCAAGCACATACAAAAGGTAAGGCCCTACGCACTTTCACACACAAACACCACCTTTGATCACCAAGCCCTGTTTCTACTCTCATGACAGACTTGTTGTGAGAAACCTGTCTCACAACAAGCTCTGTTTAAAAAAAAAGGATGTCTCTCAAGAGCTTTTCAGAAATAGACCACTGAAGTCATGGAAAATATTTTTATTGAAGAGCACAAGTCACACTTTACATTTACACGTTAATGTACCTCCAAACATATTTCAGTAATACTGCAGTGCTTTCACCAAGCACTTTTTTTTTCTCTTAGTGCTGCCGTTGGTCAGTCTACATTCCTGTGAAGAAACACTATCCTGTAACTGATTCAGGGAAGAATAACAGTAGGCCTCGCTCCTTTGACTCATTACACTTAGTGAAGCTGTGTCATTAAAATTCATTTTTTAAACTTACCAGGTTTAGTCGGTTATCACACGTTCACAAGAACAGTATTTAGAAGTTCCCTAAATGAGGAACAGTGATCTCGTTTTGTTTAGACTCAGCTTTTGGGTTTCCTGTGAAAAACAATCCATGCGTACAATCCCTTGAAGGCATTGCAAGCCAAATATAGTGCTGGTACTTGTAAATACTGTATGACACACTGCCTATGCTGCGGGTCAGTTAGTCTCAACTTGTGACCTCTCTTTATTACAGTACACACATATTCCATATGTCCATTTGGCTGACTGTCATATGGAATGATTTAAAAATATTTTTAATTTGGGGTGGTGGTGATGATGAGTCCTTATAATAAATGCAGGGTATAAGCCTATTACAGTTTATCAAAAGTGAAGATTACAGGTTCTTTCAATAAATTACACAATATATTGCATGAACTTACGATGCCCACGATTTCCAGTCATAATCAAATTATTTAAATGAATTCTGTAGTGTAATTAAGTTGCTTATTAATAAGGACTGGTAGGGATGTCTTACAATAATCAAATTAAATACATTTTGGGCCTACTTTGGTTAAGCGATTAGCTTAGCATAAGCATATGTCACTTAGTGGCAGTTGTAGATGAAGCCGTCCTGCTGTAAAATGTACTTTCATGATGCCTTCAATGTTGCTTCTTTTTTGACAGTTTTAGAGGTTTACACTCATAACTATGTCTCCATGTAGCTGTCATAATAAGAGTTGGATATCATCATAGTGGTCTGCATTATATCTAAAATATTCTAAATTATTACTCACTTGTCAAAACGAAGGCGAAATATACACACCTTCAAAATACAGTTCAGAACAACATCCTCAGTTTGACCTCAGTGATCAACATGTCAGTGAATTTAAACACATTGTTTGGATTCCTTGCCTTTATAATACTTAGTAAGAGAGGTAATAAAACATATCACATTTCTTTTACCTCAACACATACCAAACAACTCAGGTGGTCTCAAGAGGTTCTGGTCAAAGGGGAGTAATACTTGACGTCATCCTGCTGGATTTACCTTCAAAACAACCCCTCCATCTTTTGTCATCGTGATGTGTACTTTTAGATTTACAATAAGAGCAGCCTTGTATAATATTTTGAAAAAAGTCTTACCCATCCAGAACCCTCCATGTTATCAGGTCTTTACAGATTTTCAGCAAGAAGAGAATTCCTCTTTCCACATCTGCAAATCAAGCAAAGTGGTTACTCTTACCTGCTCCATCTTCTTAAGTCAGCTTTTTGTGAAATACTCACTCCCTTTCCTCGTTAATGTCTGAAATCTAGCATCTGCGGGTAAAACTGCAGTATCTCTGACTCAACAGGATTTCCCATTGTGTCCAGGAACTAGTCTTTCTTCGCTAGCACCAGCTGCTGGAGGGTTTAGCTAGCCTTGAACATGAGAGATAGATGCTCACTATCAGGACCGACACTGCAAGCTTCCTTCCATGGCCGGTTGTGCTCGATGCTGCCTTCTCCCTTCTCTCTCAAAATGCTGACTGGTCCACTGTGCTGGGGCTGAAGACGTCCTGTCTGACAGTCATCTGCAATCCTCCACACTAGTGTTGCTGAGGGCCCAACTGCAGGAGGTTGTGGCTGAAATAATCCTAATGGCTCAACACTGGCATATGTGGTGTATGGGCCCCTGCCTTAGGACTACATCAAACTCCCTTGTACAAGTAGAAACATATTTACACTATTTTCACCCACAGAAGTCTTATTTAATACTTCAAAATGAGTTAAAAAGGTCTTGACAGGGTGATTTGCTCCACTTCACAGTCACACTGAGCAGGCAACAAATACATAAATAACTCATTTGATCTCTTTCTGAACCAATGATGCACTGAACTTCATGTCACTTTACTACACAATTTTATTCGGTCTTTTTCTACCACTCAAAATATTCGGAACAGAATCTAGGATTCGGTTTTTCTGGGAACAAGAAAAGTGAGGGGATTCCCTTATCTCTAATCCGGGCTGCTTGTAGCTGTTCACACTGGTACTATGAAGGATTTACATACTGTGCTTCACATACAAAATCATAGTACACTTCACACTTGTAAATTGAGCAATCATAATAAAGGTCAGAAAGAAAATATTGTGTAATTCTAGCTCATCCGATGTCCTGATATTACTTTATGACACAACCAGGTTAAAAGACAAAATATTAGTTGACCAGAAGAAAACTA